TTGGGATTGGTTTTGGGTTCAAAAGGTCAAAGGTCAAGGTCACCGTGGTGAGTTAAATGTAAATGGTTCCGAATGATAACTTCAGTTAGACATGAATTTTTGGGGTCTATCTTCAGTAGGGGGTTTCCCATTGGTACAGGCATGTTGGGACTGGTTCTGGGGTCAAAGGTCAAGGTCGCCATGTTGAGTTAATGGTTTCCGGATGATAACTTGACTCTGGCTGAGGGGTTTCAACAGCAACGCTGTTATTTTTATTCATACGAACTACCGTATGGTATTATTTGTACTTTTTTGCGATTAACATTAATAAATGCAGTAATTTTTGTGCAGAATTATGTGCTTTTATATTTTCAAGGTAGCCCCAACCCAACTTTGAAATATGACAAGTAAATATTTAAATTTGTAGCATTTACTCCTTTTTATTCGTAAGAAACGAAGTAAACGCTTATAGTGTAGCAAAAGCTTAAAGGTAAAAATAATTATTTTCAGAATTTAGCAAACGGTTTTTAGTAAAAGTGTTTGCTTAATTTTCATTCATACAGATGCGAGTAAATGCTTCAAATTGGAAGTAAAAGCAAATGCCATGTTTTATTCATACAAACATGGTATCATTTGTACTTTATGAACTTTAATAAATGCAGTAATTTTTGCGCAGAATTATTTTACTATAATTTCAAGGTTGCCCCAACCCAGCCTTGTAAATGACAAGTGCATATTTGAAATCTGAAGCATTTACTCCTTTATATTCATACGAAACGAAGTAAACGATAAATAATTTTTTTTCTGGTAATGAAACCAAGGATCCTCAAAAGTGCATGCCCCAGGCACTGTAGCTCGCAAACCCCCCCAAAAAAACGTAGAGAGAAGACAATGAGAAGAAATTACAGTTTTAGAGGTGGGAGGAAAACCCCAGAAGAATAGTCTGGGGAAAACCCACGGAATCAGGTAGGGACTGAAAACCCAATCCACATGTAGAACATGGGTGCCGATGCACAGCGCATTGTGCACGTAAACGGCATTGCGTTCGTCACGTTTGGTGCGCTTTTTTTGTATCTGTCCTCCAGCACGTGACCCTCCCCGGTACCGCTTTCCGTTTCGGTTACGATAGTTTTATTTTCTGCAAACTAATAAACGTGTAAAGCTTTACATTTTGCAGGCCATTTACTCAAGAGCAAATGGTTTTTAGTAAAAGTGTTTGCTTAATTTTTATTCATACAGATGCGAGTAAATGCTTCAAAGTGGTAGAAAAAGCAAATGCCATGTTTTATTCATAAAAACATATGGTATCATTTGTACTTTATGAACTTTAACAAATGCAGTAGTTTTTGCGCAGAATTATTTTACTTTATAATTTCAAGGTTGCCCCAACCCAACCTTGTAAATGACAAGTGCATATTTGAAATCTGAAGCATTTACTCCTTTTTATTCATACGAAACGAAGCAAACGATTATTTCTCTGGTATCTGGTATGCGCGCGCGTCGCCATAGCCATGCGCGTCGGCAATGTAAGATGATGTCTTTCAGTGTAAGATGATGTCTCAAACCACCAAACTCACTGGTTCGACTGGAATCCTGCTGCTGCACAATTTTAACGTGTTATTTCTCATAAAGTTATTTCTCATGTCTAAGTTTATTTCAAGCATGCAGAACAAAGGAAAATGGATGTTAAATACAGTTTTTCTGAGTTTTTTAATTTTTTGCACTCCCTTTTTGAAAAATCAAGCTCCGCCCCCCAAAATTGTGCAAGATCCAAGATGTGTTCACCTCTTAAAATTATTTTCAGCCCATTTTAACTGGACCTGCCAATTTTCAGGATTTTACCACCAAACCAAATAATGTTTTCCATATTAGAACCAAACTGCTAATATATACCGCCTCTTTTGTACATTTAGGCCACGCCCACAAAATGGGTGGAAATTAACTGGTGTTCGAATGCTAGAATGTTATATTTTATGTTTAAGTTTATTTCAAACCAAAATGGATGTTAAATACAGTTTTTATGAATTTGTATTGTTTGCACCCCCTTTTAAAAAAAAATCAAGCGCCGCCCCAAAAATGGGCAAGATCCAGGATGGGTCCCGATCTTAAAATGAATTCTAGCCCATTTGGACCCAACCTGCCAAATTTCATGCTTTTACCACAAAGTGCACGATTTGGGCCAAAAATGGACCTAAGCAGCTCCACTAAGGTGTAATTTGGCTTTAGAGTACATGTACATAGGGTTTAATTGATTTGTGGCAAGCTTAGCATACTAATTGTGTGTGAATTAGAAAAGGAAACGAAGCCGGCTTTGTCCCCTTGTTTAAGTGTTATTATTCAAATTAACTTTTTTTTAAGACTGACATGACTGAAGATGGCTTTTGACAACATATTGTTTATACTGGGATATATGCCCAGTTGCCACAATATTTTGATCTTTTTGTACCTTAACCCTAACCCCCTTGAGTGATTTACTAAGATCCTTCCTCACTCTTGCAAAATCCAACACCATATGGTAAACTAACTGTTGGACTCTGATTATGGTGGTATGCTTGACCCCATGTAAAGCATAATCAGTTTACTAGTGTAGTACTCACTCCAACAGATTCCAACAAAACATGCAGTTGGATTTTGAAGGGGTTGGGGTGGTTAGGGTTAAAGAGCTCACATATTCATATATTTAAAAAAAATACAAATAAAGTGAGACTTCTAAAGTGCTGCTGCCACCAAATGTTTTGTGTGTGTGTGTTGAAAAGTTCGGACACAACCACAATGTGAGACAGAGTGTAACAATTTGCACCATGTACATGTATATATGAATCCGATGACAAAACGTGGTGGTTAGGGCTTATAAATCACTTTATATGTGTTCCTCTCTTTTTTGGGGGAACACTTTGTAATCAATACCGTTCTTAAGCAGACCAGGATCTAAGGCATTGCATTTTGCTATTGTGAACGTCACTGAGCCCTTTGCTTTGTTTGTCAGTTTGTTGGAAATTTAGGAAGCTGGAAATAATTCTGCATTCTGTCACTTAAAGGTAATATACAGCATTTGCAAACATCAAAAAACAAAACTACCAAATTATTATGAAGTTGCTTACTTGACTGCAAGTGTATAATAGTCTCAAGCATTCTGTGTACTGTCATTTTCAAGAAAAGTGGAATTTTTATATCAAATTTACAATGATGGTCGGCCGACCAACGTTGGGGGAAAAACCTGATTTTTTTCCCTCCAAATTCTGCCCCAAAATTACCAAATTTAGTAAGTCCACATTTTGTTCGCAATCAGTTACACATCCGTGAACGGTTGCAAGCCACTACTTGAAACGATCTAGTCTGATTCCCTGACCTGACAATTCCCCAGCGTCTATAAATATCTCTATTTTGTCTGAAAAACTAGGGTCAGGGAACCAGACTACAAAAGCATTTTTTTCTTGGTTGTTCAAGCATCTATGAACACAAAACTTTAAACAGGTCAGTGTAACAGTGTTTGCTTTAAACTTTACATCAAAAACTATAAAATTACATCAAAAGCAAATGTTGTATATTACATACACCTTTAAACTAAAATTGCGTGGCCAACACAATGTGTGGTAGGTCTTTTTATCTTCTGGATTAAGTCACCATGAATTTGCCCACAGAAACATTGTTCGTGATGTGACTAATATAATTAATCATTCCTATTACTACTACATGTATTTCAAGGGCAACACAGCATTTCACCTCTTCTTTTACTGGTTTAAACAAAAATTCGCTCAAATCATCTGAGAATCGCCATTTGTTTACGAGCAGAAGTCAAAGAAGTTAATGTGCAATTGGGCTTTCGTTGCTAGGGAACAAAATTGCATTTCCCTCATGCATTTCCAGGGGGGTACATGCTTAAATTCTTCATGTGAATCGTAAAGTAATTACGTTTTCTTTGCAGTACTCTTTTCTAAAATGTTCTAAATCAGTATGTTCCAAATGTTCAAAAGTTTTTGTGTTGTGTGTCGTTTTTGTTTAAAAGTTTGTCATTTTTTGAAGTTTTTTGTTCTCATGAATATATGAAAGAAGTGACCAAGATTTAGTAAATCATTTTTTTTTTGTGTTGTTAGTAAAGATTGCAGATTTTTTTTTTTTTTTTTTAAATATGTATGATCATGGCTTTGATAGTTTGTTGAATATTGGACGTAGCTTGCTTTTTTTGTGAAGGGTTCAATAAATTAAGGATACACTTGTATAGACTAAATCCGACAAAATAATCTGCTGTTTATGTTGTGTACTCCATGTAAAAAATCGTGGCTGGCTTGTATAGGCCTACTCCTGAATCTTTTAAAATACGGCCAAGCTGTGTTTGATTGGCTGGGGTTGGTTGTTTGCTTCTTCGTGGTTGTTTCAAATGCTCATTGCCACAATAGAAAATGTTAACACCAAAGTTTAGCATTTTTGTTTTTAAATTGGGACATTCCTCCCCCTGTCAAATAGTGCCTAGTACCACCCGTACCATCTAAATAAAACATGGCCTACCAAAATGGAATAGTGATCAACATTTTCTTGTTCCATATTGGTTTGAAAACTGTTTGCCATGTTAACTCGCCAAGAGAATAATTCTTAACTTTTTTTGGTCAATATAGGTGCTCAACCTTGATTTTAATATACAAATGTTTGGGGAAATAGATCAATATCTGATTGTACATTGTAAGAACGCTGGTCCATTTTGCTTTTTTGTTGTTGTAAATATGTATAACACTTCAAAATGCTTCAGTGTTTAAGTACCACCATGATTCTTGGCTGTGCAAATTCTGAATGATTTTGAAAGTAATTAAAACTAGGAGGTTTAAAATAGGCCTTATTTTTCAAAAAACTTTTTAAAACATTGTGAAGCACATGTACAATTCTCTTTGTAACAAAATCTTGCTGTAGTTTGTATTGTACCATTTTAAAATTATGCTAGCATTTTGTAATGTGAAGTGTTTAAAATGTCTTGATGCTCACCCAGTTTTCTTTGTTTCTCTCAATTACACCTATTCTCCCTCTCTTAGGAAGTATCTGACATCATGAACAAGGAATTCGTCATCACTCTATTTCACAATTGTATGTGTAACCTGCTAAAGAAAACGCCCACTGTGTTGGGAAATCAAACTGTGACTCGTGAACTTAACATTTATCAACTGTAGCATTAGTTATCTGGTATGCTTTATGGGGCAAATTTTAGAACAATTTCTTGTGAATTTTATTGTGTTCAGTTCTGCACACCCTGTGAAAAGACACAAAAGGGTCTCTGTTTTTGGCTGTGAAATTTCAAATGTTGTAAATGTACATAGTTTTTAGGCTTTGTCGCATTTGATTTTTTTTTGTATCGGAGGAAAATTTTCAAAGCTTGGTTGTACATACTTACCAGACTTTTCAAGAGGCAAAATTAGCATGAAGCAATGTCATATGAAATGTAAAACAAAAACCAAAAATTGAAATTTGGAACTTTGGGAACTGGACCTTGGAAAGTTTCGTGGAATTTTGGACGACCTGGAACAAGGCTTGGAACCACAAGTCGTCTCGGACGTTTGAATCTCACCCAAGCGAGTTGTTCAATGTGAGCAGTTGTGTGCATCAGCAACATCATCAGCAAGAGCAACATCAACAGCAATAGGAAGAGCATAGTGTAAAGGTCAGCCAAGTATCAACCACGTCACCGGAAGACAAGACGGCTCCTGCAAGACGTGTGGAGAGACACACCCTCTAGAGGCACTCGGAAAGAAAACCACCAATGACGTCATCAGTCGCCAAATCTGACAAGACCAGTCTTTCAAACAAGTCCGTAAGAAATTGATCTTTTAAATATTTTTGTTCTGCATGCTTAATAGCTTAACTTCTTTTATTGTTTGTATCATGAATTCTTGTTCTTAATTTTATCACGCGGAAATGTGGTTTCTAATTTCAGAAAGTAGCTTGGAAAGAAAAGTTGTATATACATTGTCCACGTAACGACTCACGAATATTCACCACATCGCTGCACAGTAATGCCAAAAGTTGATTTGTTATATTTGAAATTGGGTAAAATGTAATTGGTTTCTGATATACCCAATCAGACTGTAGCTGCCGTCTTCAAAAAAGTCATCATGAGGAGTCAGCCATTTCTTTAAACCAGTCATTTACACTTTGACCTTTCGCTTTTTGTTTGTGTTTTCTGATATAATTTTGTGTACATTTTTAGAAACTGTAATGGCGTTTTTCTCCGTGCAAAATTTTGCTCTAACTTATATGAAGTGGTCAATTTGTTTCCACAAGATGGGTAACTTTCTTCACATTAATGACTAAAAAAAACCCCCACAATATATCACCTGAGCTAAGCTGTAAGGTATGTGGTATGCATGTGATTACCCCAAATATCAAAAACTTTTGATTTTTATTGGTATCAAAAATAATACTGACATAATACATTTACATTTACCACAAGAATGGCCAAAACTTGATTACATAATGGCTGATGACCATGCAGTACGTACCTCAATTTTCGATTCTCGTTAGAGCAAAATTTTCAAGGAAATCCTTTTTAACCGTAAGCGTATATTAATCAGTTCTAGTAAATGTAGAATAAATTGCTTAACTGTTGCCGGTAACTTGATTGCAAGTTGACTCTTTTTTGTGACACTTTTTTTGTGAAAACTTTTTTTGGACACCTTTTTTTGTCATTAATGATACATGTACATTATAACAGTCAAGCTGGGTTTTTGTTTTGTTTAGGCTACTTGACTGCATACTTGACTGAAATATGTTACCATCTTCTTGGATTCTTGCTTGTGTCTTAAACCAACAACTAATGGGACGAGATGAGTACATCACATTAACCTGAGAATCCTCATTTTTTGTAAATTTGAAAGCAAGAAAAATGGTTGTGATTCCCTTTTCTTTTTGTCAATCATGGAAAGTGTACATTTGAGTGTTTTACTTAAAGCACTGACCAGATTCAGTTGTTATAATTATTAACAGCTGTGACTGAAAACTGTATTTTCCCCTTCAAATTATGGGTGTTTGATGGAATATGAATTTGTTTTTTTTTTTTTCTGAATTTTATTTTTTTTTAGTGGGGAGGGTGGAGGGGGAGGGTTTACCCTAGAATTTGCATGTTCTTTGTTAGCGTACAGGAATACCCAACATGGAGCAAAATCGACATCTGTGAGCGTGCCAAGTCTTTCTGGTGAGATGACCCTGTACTGCCACTGAGGGCGCTGCTGCATCACGTGATGGACAAATCAGCAGGTAGATTATCAATTTCTTTTATTTCAAAATTAAATAATTTCTCGTGTCTTACAAAATAGTTAAGTTTATAAATACTTGTATCTTTTCAGAGGTGCTTGTCGTTCCCCTCATATTGCTTGAATTTGCTTTGTTGATTTTAAATTAAAAAAACTTGATTGTTGTGGTTATTGATGATATATTTTTGAATATACATGTATTCCATTCTGTGGACTTGTTTTACACCATTCCTATAGATGGCATCTTACTGACATACCGGTCAAATTCTCATTGCGATTATAAACCAATAACATATATTGACAAAAAGTGTCAATTTTAAATAGTACATGTAATTGAAATCTCAAAATACAGCCTTGCTCTGCCATTACCTCACCTCAGTTGATATGTTTGTTCTTAATATGTTGTTTCAACACTCATTCATAAATACCTGAGACAGTTTACCCATTCCTATTGGTCAAGAGCCCGTCACGTGGGTCGTTTTTAATAAACCGCTGATAAAACACCGGCTGGTTTTAGACACAATTCCTGCGTTTTGAGCCACATCGTGCAGCACCCGCCCCTTGTGCCAATTTCCATAGGACATTTTTAGCACTGCGCGCACGAGACATGCATGTACCATAGATATGGCTAGAGGGGTGTTTCACAAAACAAATTGTTAAACAAAATCGTTGGAATTTTGGGAATGTTTGACTTGATTGGACTTTTTGACCGAAAGGTATTTATGAATGGGAATAAATATGTGCTTGGCCGGTATTAAACAAGTATGTTTAAAACCGGCTAGGGATCAGGCCGCGGATAATGGCCCTGGCCTTCCTATTATCCGCGGCCAGGCCTCCCAGCCAGTTTTATGTAAATGTTTAAAACCGTGCAAGCACATATTTATTCCCTTAATAAAGCTCGTCCAAAATACTTAAAAGTTCATGTCTTTATTTCCCATGTAGGTTTTCGAGCAAAGCACAGTTGTCATCAGGTAACGATGGGGTTGTTTAGTTTTGCGTTCAGTTCTTCTTTCATTTTGGTTTAATAACCTCAACTTTCTAAGTTTCTATCTACATACATGTAGATGTTCTCCATTGTTACTGTTGTTTAGATGTAGCCTAATTTACAAGATTCTTTTTCCAAAAACTCTGGTCCGGAAAAAAAACTTATGCAAAGCAAAATACTCGTGCCTTCATCTGAAGACTAATAACTTACATTGTGTGATTTTCAAGAAGGCATTGAAGCTAACTTTCCCACTGAATGTACTTTGAAAAAAAAAGTACAGTGTATTCAACATGTAAAATGGATTCTTTGTGTAAAAAACATTTTATCCAAGAAAACCCCCCACAGCCATCGCGAGGTTCTTTGGGTTCCAAATCAACAATCGGATTGATGGAGTGTCGGTATTAAACCAGACTCATTTGACTTGCGGCTCACACCTGATTCCTCCACATTGGGGACCGAAAAGCTCCTCATATTACTACTAGGGTCAATAAGAACTTTCTTCTGAACAATTGATCGTCGAGGTGTATTCTGAATAAAGCATTACTTTATCGCACAGAAGTTATTACAGTTTCGTTGTGTTGTTTGTTTAGTTTCACTAATGGTTTACTATAGCCAAAATTGTACATGTATGTGTATAGACGAATCCGAGCGCGTGATCGCTGTACACTCACGAGGCGTTAGTATGACGTCACTTCAGTTTAAGCCACGCCCACTGCGCATTAAGTAGCATTGGAACCGTTGGAACCGGAAGTTAATGCAACTTTATCCAGTGGGCCCTAGTAGGGTGCGCGCGTGTATACATGTGTACATGTACATACGGAAGACGGAGAGTTCCACTCAATGAGTGTAAATATATTTTTTTGGTGCGTGTGAAAATATTTTTTTTGTACAGCGGCCGCCACTTATTCCGCCAGATAATAAGTGGCGGTCGCCACATAAGTCGTCATAGTAAGTGGCGGCCGCTGTACAAAAAAAATATATTCACACGCACCAAAAAAATCAATTCACACTCGTTGAGTGGCACTATCCGTCTTCCGTATGTACATGTATTCAACATGTAAAATGGATTCTTTATGTAAAATGTACATGTATACGTATGACGAAGTCACTAACGAACCGGTGTAGCGTGAATATCCGACTTCATGAAATGTGGACTCATAGTATTGCGCATGCGTGAGTACGAGAATATGCTATTTTTAGGAGCACATACGGGCGAATGACCTGTCACGTGTGAGGGATTAACCAATGATAGGAAAAAGGGGTCCGATTTTCATAGGAATCGGATTTTCATATGACGGGGACTATGCTTTCGTCTCCGACTCGACTTATATAATCAATATACATGTAATAAGTGATAGCGTGCCTAGATTGGTATTGACGTGTTAAACTTCAACGTCACGACCTTCGAAGGCAATGCCAGTGACTCACAGCGGGATTTGAAAAGACCAGCTTTGCTGCTATGACAACTCCATGGCTACCGCCAGGGAGGGAGGGTTCTCGAACCCTGAAGGCATTCTGTAATAACATTGAGTAATGTTGATTCTAGACTTAACCGTTGTAGGGATTTTCCCATTTTTGTCCGGTACACTCACTAGGGCTTTGTTTCTTAAGTCGCAGACTGGTTTTGGATTAACCCAAACGCCTTGGGTGTTCTACGGCAGCTAGGTGATTTGCCTTTGCTTAGTCAAGTCCCACGCGCTTAGCCGGACTCTTGAGGCCAAATTGCGAGAATGTTACAATATAAAAACATTAAAAAAAAAAATACACAATATAGTCCAAAATATGCCTTTTATGATACTTGGAATTTGGAACAAAGTCGCAGTAGGCCTATGTCTTTGAGAAAAAAAATTTGGCTATAGGGCCGTCGCAGACTTTTCCTTTGATAAAAATATAGGTAGAATAACAATGGCAACCGTTTCGACAATTTCGAACATTGCTTGTTATTCTACCTACATTTTTCAAAGGACGAATCTGCGATGGCCCTATATTATATACTCTATGTGCCAAATGCCATGCTTGTACTCATGAAGGCACAATTCCCCCCAATATTTCCCCTATCTGCCCCACTATAGAAGCACTTCCTGCATGCACATTATAGAGCTATGTCACTTATGAGTAAGCGTTTGGCGTTGGCCAGCTTCCAATTTCCTCAGAATGTGCTCTGTCTACGGTCTGTCAAGTTTGTACCATGTTTGCTTGTTATCCAATGCTCCTGCTCTGCTGTTTCTTGGTTTTTTCCTAATTGCTAGATATACGCTTGCCTATAAGCAAGCCAACTGGCAATGACAAAATCCTATTCACTGCAATAATACATGTACATCGGCAAACGTTTGTATAGCATACTTGCCCAATTCAAAACCACGGCTCTCGGTTTAACATATCGTCGCAACCTTGTCGTGACATCCCGATTTGGCGTGGCCGTGTGGGGACCTTGCCAAGCATCAACCTAGAAGCAGAAGTATACTTTGACAAAACTTGAACATCAAAATACAAAAGTACCGGAAAATTGAGTGTTGGATTGTGCATGCCAGATATCAAAGGGTCGCAAACTGAATATCTGAAGCCCTGCATTGGCGCTCAAGTTCAGTGACAATAAATTAAAATCACAAATTCCCATTAAAATATTGCTGGTCATGCGGAAAAAAGGTGCAACGTTGTAGCTCGGTTATGAAGAGCTCCGATGATATATTTTTCTTGAAGTTCTTTTGTTTCCTAATTCTTATGACTGTAAGTGCAGCCGAAAATGGAACAATTCAACGCTTCATTCAAAACTTGGTCCTGCCATTTGGGTTTCGTTTGTTTTTACACAACCTGTAAACCAACTTTAAGGGGAGTCAGCTAAAAAAACACACCTGCAGAATACAGTGTCATTGAACTTTACCTATTTTTATTTTCATTCCCAGCGGGTAGAACATAATAACGTAGAACTGTCAATTGTTAAAGGTGATGGATACCATTTGCATTTTCGGGGGCCGATTCAAGGAGCAGCAATACATTCAATTTAAACCAGGTCAATAAAAAAAATACCCTGTCGAACTGCTCAGTAGATATACTTTCTGGGAAAACTGAAAATGCATCTTCATTTTTTTTTCTCGACGCAAAGCATATTCCATTGAACATGAGATTGTCCTTTCTTGACCATCGTGAGGCAATGATGGTCATTCCTCTTTTCTCGAAAATGACAACATACCCGGAGCAATGATTTTACAGGATGCTTGATCCTATCATTAATTACTTACAATGAAGTAGGACATTTCATGATTTTTTTGTCTTCAACTCAAAAACTACTAGGCACATCTTGCTCAAATTACGACTGATCAGTACAGAAATTCCTTAGCAATCCAGCCATACTCTTTGTTTGGTCCAAACAGTGATAATGTGTACAAAATTATGCAATTTATGACAAATATTCGGGGGAAAAAGTTGCACTTTTGTATACGTGCAAGGTGAGTGTGAACCACAACCTGCACGTATACAAAAGTGCAAATGTATCATTTGTCATAAATTGCATAATTCGTAAACATCATCACTGCTTTTGGCCAAAATAATAAAGAGTAGGCCTATGGCTGGATTGCTTAGGAATTTCTGTACTGATTAGTCGTTATTTCAGCGAGAGGTACTCAGTAGTTTTTGAGTTAGAAAAGCATTTATTGGAAGGGGGACTTTCTTTTTTTTGGTTGAGTGTATTTTGACAGTTTCATTTTGAATGTTTGCTAATGGTGCACATTACCTTTAACGCTTAAAGTACCCAAGTTGATCCCCTCACCATGTTGGGAACACCTGTTTCGAGTCGCTTTGTTCCATACGCCAAGGTTATTGCTATATATCTTGATGTCATCTCCGAGTACAAATAGTGTCCTGGGGCGAGATCCGGGTTAGTTCCCCTGTACTAGCTATGACTGACTGTTCAACTTCCTATAAATACGGCGCCGCGCCAAATCTCGGCCGTATCATGCACGACCGTTTCATGCGGAGTAACCTAGGCACGGGTTTCTCTCACAGCTTGAGTTTTGGAATCTGTCCAGTATAGGACCACATATTTCATCACGTCTAACTCTAAAGGTAAGATAAACTTGACTTTGTACTTGTATCTTGTCTTTCAAAAGACCTTGGCCTTTGTTGTGGGTAGGCCCCTAAGCCAAAAAAATGTCAATAATAAAACTTTGTGTTGCCCTTTAATTTCAAGTTTATAGTCTATGCAATTGGCTGCGTTGCGAAATTTGTCTGGTAAAACCATTGCAAAATACGTGTACAATGTACTGTTAATTTTTTATGACATTTTTTTATGACAATATTATACTGAATTTTGGAAGCTGGTACTGGTTTCTTTTGCAACCGTGATTGCGGAGAGAGAATACGAACTTTACCGCACAGGACGGGGCTCTCGTTATGGCCCACCGTGCTCACAACTTGCATTGTTGAAAAGTACTACGTGTGTGTCCAAATCCACCTGGTATTTCAAAGAAGACCGGCGGTTGTAGGTGATATCAAGAGATGTCAAGTGCATATGACGACTGGCTTTTCACAATGTTGACATTTTCACCGTAATCCGGATCCGGGTGAGTCCGGCTATCAAGACTATATATAGGCCTACATTGTAAATAAGTTGAGCTTATTGGTCAACCGAGATACGAGCTCGGACTTTGCATCCTCAATCGGAACTTAAAGTATCCACATGATAACATTAAACTCGAGTGCAACAACTTGAAGTTGACTTCTTTTTTGTTGGTATAGTCGCCATTCATTTGGCTTTCGGCCTATTAATTGTGTTTGCGAATTCAAAACCCGGGATTTTTGGGGTGTTGTGTGTGAAATACATGTATACGTAAAGTGCATGATGATCCAGGATATGCATATGAAATACAGTGGAACAAACCTATTTTGTAATTATAGCAGCAGTTATTGACAACAAACCTTCAGTTTCGGCATGTTGTCGCTACTTCAGTACAAGGAAGGAAACTATGCTGATTCGGAAAATAATAACCCGCGATCGAATGATGTACAATATGCATCATGCAGCATCATTATATCGACATCAAAATACATGTATTAATAATGCTTGGGTTCACAATTCAAACTCTCATTTTAAGAACCATATGCATGTGTATGAAACTATATATGGCATATATACTATTACAAGTGATGGAGTCTCAGGGACGGATCCAGGCATTTTTGCGGGGGGGGGGGGGTGTCAGACCCGTCAGATACAGCTGAGTCTGTGGTCTTGTGAGGCATATGAATTTGCATAAACCTTGAACATGGAGAAACCAGCTAGCAAGTTTCTTTCACGCGTTCTAAACAGCGCCCTCTTTCGCTCACACACGCACTGGGCATGGAATGAAAAAAAACACCTTTGAGTTTAAAGCGCATGCAATGTAACTTTTTTAATGCAATCCTTGAAAATGCATTCTTGTGTCCCATTTAACCTGAAATTCAATTTTTGTTTTGCCATTTTTAAGGGTATTTTGGTGCTAATTTTTTGGTTTTCACGCTAATGCGAATGTTATATTGAGTAACTCAGTGCAAGCAGAAGCCTCAATGTAATACTGTTATGTCAGCACCCAAAGTTGCCAGAAATTTGGATAGTTTGTTGTCGTACATTTTCTTTTCTGTGGTAATTTTCTGTTGTGTGAGTATTCATGGCAGTAAGTCAGTGAGCAAACTTTTCTCACAGATGTTTTCAACGAGCAAATTTTTGGGTTCACAAAACCGAGCAGTGTATTGCTGAAGTGACATCACAGTTACAGAGCCCTCAGTGTCGGGAAAAGCATGGCATTTAAAAAAAAATCTTTTAACCCTGTGGGCTTCGAAGGGGCTCGCGCGCTAGGCACTCTTTTTTGTTTCTTAACTTTTTTTAATGAAACTATCGCCCAATTCCCTTGAAACTACATGTATGTCTAAAGTGAACCTTGTGGTTTGAGATATTATGGTCGCTTTTCTTGTAGGAGTTCACTTGGGGGTCGGCCGCCCCTGGGAAAGTTGGGCCTCCAGCCAAAGCCCTTTCACTTGTGCACAAAAAAGTTCTCTGTGTTTTACATACCGCCGTCACAACAATGTCATCAATCATCGTCTACTGCTGGCCCCGTGACAGCTGTCACGCTAGAGCCACAGAAAGGCTGTCTCGACTGTTTCATGTGCGACTGTTTCATGTCCATCTTTTTTGGGGGGATCCAACATGTAATGGTCGATCCAACATGTAATGGTCAATCCAACATGTAATGGTCACAGTGCATGCAGTGTATATGTACATGACTGTGCAGCCACAATGTCTGTGAGTGACCTACTGGAGGGGATTCAATCTGGTGTTGGTTCGGGGGACCTGCATTCATAATATTTAGACCATTAGAGAAAGGATTGTGTCCACAAAATAGTATTTTATACGCGAAATCAAAACTGCCTCACGCGTGAGCACCTCCGCTACGCGGCGTAAGTTTTTACGCTTCGCAGCTCGAAGTGTACTTTTCAATATAATATAGACCAAAAAGGTCTATATTATAAATTGATAAATTGTAAATTGAAGAGGATTACAAATTTAATTTGCTTAAAACATGTTCCTCTGAAAACATTTATTTCATGGCCCCTTTAAATTCAGAAATATCAATTGTATAAGGGGATTGAAGACGGCAGATCGCTAATAAAATCAATAATAAAACCTGCTAATAAAACCTGCCCTCAATGTAATGTATGTAGTTTCCTTGGTGTTTTAGGTGTCCTTTCGTCATCATGACTCGTAAACAGTATACCACGATGACTGGCGATCAGACAGCCGCCAGTCCAGAAGACCAAGAAGTCGGACATGAGCAGAACCAAGCCAGGTACGGCTGTTTGTCCTGCCACCCCTCGGGTCTTACTCCCCTGGCCTCGGGGAAATTCTTCCTCCTCGCCATGTGCATGCTCATCTTCAGCGACGCCTTCAACATCGGCACCCTGAGTGGCGCCCTCACGAGTCTGGAGACGCGATACGAGCTGACCGCCTCCCAGTTGGGGCTGATCGAGAGTTTATACGAGGCGGGAAATCTCATTTTCGTCATCTTCGTGGTGCACTTTGCCGGGCGTGAGGAGCACCGACGCCCGCTATGGATCGGCCTGGGCGCACTTACAATGGCCATCGGCACAGCCATCGCGTACTCGCCACAATTCTTCTTTCCCGCGTACGAGCCTAACTGGAGGTCACTCTCCACCAATCAGAGCACGGAGCCATTGACCTGTGGATCTGATTGGCTGGAGGTCCGATGCGAGCTCGCAGAGTCGCATGTGTTCCAACAGGATAGCCGTATGGCGTACGTGGTGGTCCTGTGCGGTGAGATCTTGGTTGGTATTGGTTGGACGCCGGTAATGCCGCTAGCCATGTCGTACATTGATGATAACGTCAACACCAAAACCTCTGCCATGTTCATAGGTAAGTATCTTGGCCATTCCTGGGTGAAAGTCTCAGTTTCGAAGTGTAATCTTCAGAGAAAATCACATATGGAAGAAGAAAACAAATTAACGATGAAAGTAGTCGGATCGGGGAGGGGCATTATTAGAGGCACCTAAAAAAACCGGAGGCGCGTTGTACGAAGGACTAATAGGCAGTCTCGCTTATAAAAAAAATAACCACAGCTCGATCAGACGTTGTGGAGATCTTGATACCTTTTGTTTAATCCTCAGGTATCATCCAGAGTATGTTTGGTGTCGGTACCATCGCCGGGTTCCTGGTAAGCGCAGCCGTGGCATCGCATTGGGTTGACTTCTATCGGGTCGATATTGACGAAATCCAGGTAAGGTTCCAGAATCCCCCGAGAAACAGTGCAAACACTTAGAGATTTTCAATGGGAGCCTCCATAAGGAGAGACTTCAGTTTGACAAACTAAGCTGATATGTTCCTTGCTCTTGGTACCAGGCGAGCTAGCTGATCGATTCTGAGAATGTCCAAAATAGTACATCTGACGCCACATATAGATGGCCTAGCTTGACTGCACCCTATCTACCTCTAAAAAAACCCTGAATAACCAATTCAATACAAAGTGAAATAACTATCGTTACATCAAAACGAAACAATATTACTGCACCACCGAAAACCGTTCAGTGATTACCAATCAAACACCATAGCCTACGCCCCCATGGTGTTTTGACCAAATTACAGCCGTGATCTATGTCACACCAACCTCGTCCCCAGTGCTTACTTTATTTCCAACCGCGTTTCCAATAGTAAACCCTGGATAGGAAACTTTCTTCCTGTATCCTGATTGGATACCGCAATTGGCTAGTAATGGATTTTTATCGTGTACTTGGTGCTATATATTCACAACGTGCAGTACGTGTTTTCGCGATCATTCGTCCACGCCTTCTCGAAAATACTAATTTCCTTTCCAATTTGCTCATATAAATAGGAAATATGATACTGCATGTTGTCTTGATAAGATCGTAACAGTTTGATTTCAAAAATCGTGTTTTCGTAACTCACGCCGTGCTCGCGCTGCTACGAATTGACTCTGTTTTTACCCCAGACACCGCATACAAAAACAAACGCTAATGTGTAACGCATATCCAGGCACCAGACTGTTCCTCATTTGCATACGTGTGCAAAAATCTTGCACATGCAAATGATCCAATACCAGGGTGAGAGAGCAGGTAGTGGTGGGCGCGTACTGCTCGACACCCTGGGGACGAGGTTGATGTCACACACAATGCGGACCCAAAGGTCCGAATGTGCCGCACGTGCGTATGACGCGCACGGCTGGCACATGCAGTGGGCATAGGGTGCAACACGTGCTGTTTGCCCACGTGCGCAGTGGGAGGGGCCAATAGTGGATCGGTCGGATATTGTGTGGGTTAAACCAGCAAGTAACTGAAGAATAGCCATTATTGTATAAGTCGCCCACGTTAATTTCTGGGCTGATGGTCACGTTCTTCTCATCGGCTGAGCAACAATAGCCTCCAGCAACTGTTTCTACAAACTTCTCAATCTGATGATAATCTTCCGGCCATTTCTCACACAGCTTGTCCCCAGTGACAAACTCTGGGTGGGTGCGTGGTGGCTCGGACTGGCCATAACGAGCGCCCTCTATTTCCTCTCCTCGCTGCCTTTCTTTGGTTTCCCACGTCGCTTGCGGACCCAATCTCCCTCATCTTGCGCCAAGGACGACAACTTTATGTTGGAGAGTTACACCACAGATGATCCTGACCCGGAAGAAGAGGTTCTTGAACCTGGAAGCACTTCAAAGGGTGTGGTCTCTTTGTCCAGTGAGTAGGCTGATAACAGAAACATGTATTCAAAACCCTTTTTTTAAATGCCGTACTAAAATGAGAGGGTATCCACATCTTATGTCACAATGTTTAATTCTCTGCAATTTCGACATCGCGTGATTTTAAGCACCACACAGGTGCAAGGGTACGGTTTGTATTTCGTGCGAGCAGCTCACCCGTATTAACTCGGGTAAAGGCACATGGGTTAACTAGCCACGATATCCGGGCTAATCGAACGTTCGACCGCGGGCCATCACGATCATCATGTGATGTCCGCACAACGGCACTGACACCGACAAAACCAAAACGCCCGTACCGTTTCGCAATTAAACACCGGGCCGTTTCGCAAACACCCAGGCCGTTTCAATTTACTGCTTTTCGGTCAGTTGAAAAAAAAGATAACAGAGTTGGGTCCCCAAAAAGTGGGTCCGAAAAAAATGGAGTTTGGGGCCCGCTTAAGGGCCCCGAACTGTAATTTTTGGATTCTAGATGCTCTGTGGTACGATCTGAGGCAGTTTCTGACCACTTTGACCAATTTTGTTGGGTAAAAGATGGTGGTGTATGCAGTGTCTGCTTTTATTACGACGTCACTTAAAAAGGGGTACTGTTTTTTTTTTTGGGGGGGGGGTATGGTCCCCTTTGGTCCCCCTGGATCCGCCCTTGATGAACTTAACATTACCTTTAGACTACACAATGCAGTTTCGTTTGAAAATAGTCCACTTCAGATTTCTGTTGTCCAGCCGCCATATCCGTTTTTTGGAACGAACAACACATGCGTGTGCCGTATTTTCACCACTGACTCTGCTCCGGCCACGAGCAGGGTCTGTGGGGGCTGATGACCCGGGTGAGCCCCGAGAATGACGTCAGCTAGAGCGAATCGAACGGCATGGGGCCGCTCACCCGAGTCGATCTGGTCGAGCCTACTCACACGTACCCATATAGCCAGTGCCGTTCGTGACGGAGCCCGAGATGTGTAGTGTTAACACCTGTGACTCGCTTGAACGCAGCCATTAAGAAAGTACGATGTATATTTTGCCATGGAAGATACTAGGCTCTGAAACGTATGCTGGCTTGCTTGGCATGGGAGATAATATCCCAAATACCAGGCAATGAAACTTAATGTCGCTTTCTTAGCATGGGTCAATGCACAGACCAATTGCCCTTGCTCGATCTACATGTATAATGGTACAACTATTTTTCCTTCAGATTGGTTAAGAGGAGCAAAGTGAGTTCAACCATGAGCAAATATTTATTTTGTTTTTATAATGTACTTAAACGTGTTCAATATTGACATAAATACAAAGCCATGCCTGGATAATAGCTATTTTTAAATTTTATTTGTAAGATTGAAAAACCACAATTTAGCCAAAAAGTGAACTAATTTAGTTCACTTTGAGAATATTTGCTGTTATAAGTGAAGTGCCCAGTGTTGAAAGGTAGGGGTGTTACTCATTTCCACCGATGAGGGCGTACTTGGCTTTCTTTTCCAATAGCCTTACCTTCCTTATTGTGGCGTCTGCTGTGCAACCCGATCTACCTATGGCTCAGCGTGGGCAGCTTCTCTGAAATGGCCGTCATTGCCGGTCTGGTAACCTTCTTCCCCAAGTATCTCGAGACGCAGTTTGGCTTGTCTCCACCCGAAGCCAACTTTTTCATGGGTGAGCCTTGACCGATATTCCATAGTAGGCAGGCCTATTCCTGTAACTTTCTACCGCAAATTCCAGTGTTTTGCTCCAGTTTAATCAGTTGCTTTCCCATTTTATGAGGTGTTTATTAACTCTAGAATCAAAACCAGTTCAAATAAATTGACTCTTGAGGGCGCTGTTCCACAACCCTTTGATTGTTTCCATTTGGAACGAGTAGGCACAACATTATTTTGTCCACTGTTGATTCATGGATCGAGTCCATAGAGCAACCAGCTGAGTTTCAGATCAAAGTTTTCCGCCTGAACAGCTGGCAAAAAAATCCATAAATTTTGGGATGACGAAAAACAGAAATGTATATTGGAAAAACAAATCTTTGGTTTCAATAGAGTCATTACGTGTATGTTTAATTTATGTGAGGAAACCGCAACATTATTAAGCAGTTTCATATTGTCCTCCCATAGCTGTGATTCCCGTTCCTGCCGTTGCCCTGGGATCGATCCTGGGCGGATACTTGCTGAAGAAACTGTCCCTGAAGGCAGAGGGCGCTATGATGCTGGCCCTGACCTGCAGTATCATCGCGCTGATTGGTCAGGTGGTGTTGCTAGGCATTGGCTGCGATGATACTGGCCTGGCCGGTGTAGATGTGTCATATCCTAACAAGCACATGTGAGTGACCCAACCAAACCCAATTAACTCAACCCAGTTCAACAATCAGAATCTCAGAATCTCAGAAAGTTGACTGGATATCGCCGCTAGGCATCATCATCCAGTTTGACTTCAAGCCGGTGCCGTGAACTCAACCCAACCCAACCCAGCCCAACCCACACAAGTGTGCATGCAATCGGGGACCCCTAGTCCCTCTTTTGTTTGCCTTTTTGAGAAGACCTCCCATTATGTTTTGTACACGAATCCAAATTGGGGACCTCTCGGGCATTAGAGACCCTATTGTCCTCTATTGTTCAACGTCCCCTATTAAATGCAAAAACAAACTCGACCCAACCCTACCCAACTCAACCCAACCCAACCCAGCCCAACCCAACCCAACCCAGCCCAGCCCAACCCAACCCAACCCAGCCCAGCCCAACCCAACCCAACCCAGCCCAACCCAGCCCAACCCAACCCAGCCCAACCCAGCCCAACCCAACCCAACCCAGCCCAGCCCAACCCAACCCAACCCAGCCCAGCCCAACCCAACCCAACCCAGCCCAACCCAGCCCAACCCAACCCAGCCCAACCCAGCCCAACCCAACCCAGCCCAACCCAGCCCAGCCCAACCCAACCCAACCCAGCCCAGCCCAACCCAACCCAACCCAGCCCAACCCAGCCCAACCCAACCCAGCCCAACCCAGCCCAACCCAACCCAACCCAGCCCAGCCCAACCCAACCCAACCCAGCCCAGCCCAACCCAACCCAACCCAGCCCAACCCAGCCCAACCCAACCCAGCCCAACCCAGCCCAACCCAACCCAGCCCAACCCAGCCCAGCCCAACCCAACCCAACCCAGCCCAGCCCAACCCAACCCAACCCAGCCCAACCCAGCCCAACCCAACCCAGCCCAACCCAGCCTAACCCAACCCAACCCAGCCCAGCCCAACCCAACCCAACCCAGCCCAGCCCAACCCAACCCAACCCAGCCCAACCCAGCCCAACCCAACCCAGCCCAACCCAGCCCAACCCAACCCAGCCCAACCCAGCCCAGCCCAACCCAACCCAACCCAGCCCAGCCCAGCCCAGCCCAACCCAACCCAACCCAACCCAACCCAACCCAACCCAACCCAACCTAACCCAACTCAACCCAACCCAACCCAACCCAACATAACCAAGCCCAACCCAACCCAACCCAACCCAACCCAGCCCAACCCAGCCCAACCCAGCCCAACCCAGCCCAGCCCAGCCCAACCCAACCCAACCCAGCCCAACCCAGCCCAGCCCAACCCAACCAAAACCAAACCAAACCCAACCCAACCCAACCCAACCCAACCCAACCCAACATAACCCAACCCAACATAACCCAACCCAACATAACCCAACCCAACCCAACCCAGCCCAACCCAGCCCAGCCCAGCCCAACCCAACCCAACCCAACCCAACCCAACCCAACCCAACCCAACCCAACCCAACATAACCAAGCCCAACCCAACCCAACCCAACCCAACCCAGCCCAACCCAGCCCAACCCAGCCCAACCCAGCCCAGCCCAACCCAACCCAACCCAACCCAGCCCAACCCAACCCAACCCAACCCAACCCAACCCAACCCAACCCAACCCAACCCAACCCAACCCAACCCAACCCAACCCAACCCAACCCAACATAACCCAACCCAACATAACCCAACCCAACCCAACCCAGCCCAACCCAGCCCAACCCAGCCCAACCCAGCCCAGCCCAACCCAACCCAACCCAACCCAGCCCAGCCCAGCCCAACCCAACCCAGCCCCCCCAACCCAACCCAACCCAACCCAACCCAACCCAACCCAACCCAACCCAACCCAACCCCCAACCCAACCCAACCCAACCCAACATAACCCAGCCCAACCCAACCCAACCCAACCCAACCCAACCCAACCCAACCCAGCCCAGCCCAGCCCAACCCAACCCAACCCAACCCAACCCAACCCAACCCAACCCAACCCAACCCAACCCAACCCAACCCAACCCAACCCAACCCAACCCAACCCAACCCAACCCAACCCAACCCAACCCAACCCAACCCAACCCAGCCCAACACAACCCAACACAACACAACACAACACAACACAACCCAGCCCAACACAACACAACTCAACACAACCCAACCTAGCCCAAACCCAACCAAACCGAAACATGCATTCTCGACGGAACTTTACAGAAATAAAATAGTTCCTTTTCTGAAGGGTGTCTTACAATAATAATATTGCGGAAATCGAGATTTGCAAGATGAAATTTAGTGCCAAAATTTCAATATGTTTTTGCCAAATAAGGATTGAAGTTTTAGTTCCCAAAAACGTTTATAATATCGTATTTTTGTCTTAAATTTCTTCAAGGATTGACTGGACTTCAGTCAATCTGACCAGCAGATGTAACGTGGACTGTGGTTGCAACTCAGACGATCCTGAGGCCGTCTGCGGAGTGGATGGGATATCGTACTTCTCAGCTTGCCATGCCGGTTGTAAAGAATTCATGAATGGGGTAAACATCTGATTCCTGAATGTCAAACATAATAACGACAGATGTACTCTTCTTTAAGTATGTGACTCGAAAAATAGTCAGCATTTTCACGGAGACGAATTTGGCCACAGCGTGTTGAACAGTGGATTTGAAAAAATCGGGTTTAAGCTGGTACGTCACTTTTTGAAAAATAGATTTCGCCTACTTTTGGAGCACATGTTGACTAATTTTTGATACAGATAGTACGCTGAGATCATAAACTTCAAAGATGTACCATTTACAGTACAATAGAACAATTGCTTGCGAAGAAATTAGCTCCATAGAGATTTGTCTGTTCGTGAAAACTCAAAATCCCATACGCGCGTTTTTCCGGGCAATTTGCCCATACCCATAGCGCTAGATTCGTTTCTTCGTGAAAACGTAAACGCCTATACGCGCGTTGTTTTTTGCCCCATAGAACAAGGTGATAAAGTTTGAAATTTGAAAATGCAAGTCAAATTTCCCTGGATTGATTATCATGATTGTTTTGATTTAAAGTGATTTTGACCCGAAAAAATGTGTCAAAATGTTCGTTGCTGTTCACCTATTTAACCGATTTCGACCGGAAAAGAATTTTCGAAAAAAATATGGATTTTTGGCCGAATTCGTCCCGTCGTAAAAAATGCTGAGGAAATGTAGTGGGTGTTGTTTGAAGAATGGACTAAATTAAAAAAAAAAGGCTACTTGGTGACTTATTGCGAATGCTTGAGAAAAAGTTCGTGTGGTAAAGTCCAATTGTAATGACATTTCATACCAAATTTTGCATGGCGAGGGAAAAAGGCATATATTTGCAATGGTTCGAATTTTATTTCACAAAAGTGGTACGTATTTTGTACGAGGAAGGCTCTGATTGGCATTGTACCAGGCTTTCCATTTGTTTACTCAATTAAAAAGGGAATTATAAGTGAATTTCATGCATGCCTTTTGTTTTCGCAGACATTTTTCAACTGCTCATGCGTGCAGGATCCGACCAATCAGATGGCCGGTTCAGCCCAGCCCGGCGCATGCCCAATGAGTGACTGCCACATGTTGGCGCCATTTCTCGCCATCATGTTCATCATTGCTCTGTTCTCGAGCCTTGAGGAAATCCCGCAACTAATGGTCATGATGAGGTGAAAGAACAAACCAGGCATTTTACATCATTATCTAGAAAAATAGGGACGTACTTCAATCGACTTAACGAGAAAATCATTTACCAAAGTGAAGACGCATGAAATGGTGTCATTCGGAAGAAAACAGTCGTTGAAGATGGTTTTAGTAAAATACACGTGGGCACAGTGTTTTACGTTAGCAACGGAATCCAGTACGAGACCCTGAAAATTGTCCACATCTTTTCTCTGTTTTCTCGAAATGTCTAGTATCCATTGAGCTGAAACTTCAACAAGTCAATTGTTATGCACTCTTCTTAGGTTGCTTCGTACGATCAAAATGCACAAAAAGTAAAATGTTCCAATGTACCTTTAAAAGGCAACAACAAAAGAGAAAGAGTTTAACTGAACTATACAACGGTTGTGTTGCTGATGGCGATAAGTAAAATCGCAAGTAATTAATCTCGAGACAAGGGACCTGCTTTTTTAATCAACTTTGGCAAGAGGAAGCTTCCTTACGTGTGATGGACTCTACGATGATGATTATGATGGTTTTTAGATTTGAATAGATAGCTTTATCAAATGCACCTTTGTAAACTCCACCATTCCCTTTTCGCAGGTGCGTCAAGAAGTCCGACAAATCGCTTGCTTTGGGTCTCAGGCATGTTTTTACCCGCGTATTTGGTACGTATCACTTTTGGGTTCGTTTTTATTTGACATTGAATAATTTTGTGCTAATTAGTGCTGTTTGAAAAAATCTGTCCGACCAAGTTTCTTTAATAACTTTATAACCTTTTTTCTCATACCTATAGGGAACATTCCTGCGCCTTTGTACTACGGCCTAGCCATCGACGCGACCTGTCGCCTGTGGCAGCAATTCTGTGGTGACAGGGGCGAGTGTTGGGCCTACAACCTGCCCGATTTCCGCTACACCTTTATGGGCGTCACAGTGGGCCTGAAGGTGCTCAGCGCCGCGTCCTACGTGATGGCCTGGGCGCTGCTCAAGAGGCGATCCGGTGCGGGAAAACTGCCGTCTGCTGATAGCGAGCGCGTTGATGAAGGAGTTACCATGAGTGAATACCGGCGAGTTACCGAGAACGGGGCCAATGGTGGCGCGGCGGCAGAATGTACGGGGGAGGAAGACGTAGGGAACGGGGGAATGGATGAGGGAAACCACGGTGAACTCCAAGTTTCCCCAGTTTAAACACTTACATGTATTTTCAGATACGGCTGCAAGAATATCTAGTCTGAGTGTATCACCCGTTGTCCAACGGAGATCTCTCTGTCTCCGATCCAACTTCTAATATATCTAAAGGCTATTACGCATGCAAATTTATGCGACCCCGCGCACTAGCCAATCGGATTCGACATGACGTCATTTTCATTCCGAAATCTGGCGGCTGTTTTTCCCCCCTGGAATGTTAATGGCGATTTTTGTATATATTTTCCTTTGCAAGTTCTCGTTCATCCATGGAGGTTGGAAAACGTCGACCGTGTTTCATTGTATTTAATGGGTATTCAACAGTTTGTAAAACGGTAATGATCAATGGTGGACAGCTGAATTTGGTGATCTTCTTTATTAAAATAGACATAACTTGGGCATAGAGTATGCAAATTACGTGAATTTTTCACAGGTACTAGTCAATAACATGTGCTTTATGCCTAAGTGTTTTTTTTATGAAATGGAGCGAGCCACTTATTTTTAACTACTTTTTCTAATTCGGTCACTTTCCTTTTGACTCGCCAAGTAGAACGCGCTCGCTGAATGGTCAGAATCTCGAGGTCAAGACGCAGTCTTGTTTTGCATAATTAATCACCGAATCTGCAGCACGTGACCCTTGCTGTGCAAGGAGATATTCCACAGAAAATAGTGAGAATGAAGCGCAGGACGAAATAAATTTAAATTTTTATGGGAATGTCAAAATGTTAAGCTATGGATGTAGCTGATTTATTATATTGAAGTAATCGTGTTTTAAATTGGTTCGTTTTCTTCAATGAAGTTAATTATGTTCCACTGCCGATTTCGAACAAGGAATGTAAATAATTAAGTTTCGAAAGCCGCACTCAGCGCCACATAAACGAGCTGCTCAAAATATAAATGAAAGAAAAGTGCTTGCAGCATTACATGCATTATGTTCGGACTCGCGTGTGATATAGGCTTAGTCTTCTTATAGATAATGGTTTAAGTTTTAATGTTTTGATTAAAGTAACGTATACTTCGCAACACATGGATTTTATATGACATTGAAATGTTCTTTTTCTCTGTATGATAATATTGTTTTGTTGTTGGGCACGTATGTTTATTTGTATGGCTTCGCCTTTAAAGTTGCGTTCCTCGTGCTATTTTCGAGTTTCATCCCGAAAAACAGATTGTAATCATGCGGAAATAATAACAGATTAAAAAAAAAACATTTAAAATCCACTGTGATTTTTGTTTATCCGCCGCAAGCATATCGGTGTCTTGTCTACAATTAGAGTGCCACACTCAAAAAGTGAGCAAACGAGTTGGAAAGTTTTACCCAATGTTAGTTGAATATAATTATTATCAACTGGCTAGACACTCTCGTGCGGGCAAATAATGTTCCCCAAGGTTGGTGAATAATTTGACCCCCCTAAATTGAGGCAGCCTGATTTGAATCTATCGGGCTGTGATGTTTGGCAAATAACCCTTATCCTGACGCCCATGAAGTTCGCCCAGTGGCGTTAATCTGTGCCGGCGAGTGTGGGCGAGCCGTCGCCGCTTTGTGTGGAAGTTTTTCTGCTGTCCTCATAATACATGAGACAACTCGTGTGTAGTCCCCACAACTGTGGGTGTACGTACGTGTGTGTGCGTGTAGTAAATCGAGGACGTACATCAACTGAAAAAAAGAATCATCCTTTGAGGACAGGAGTCAAATCGAGGACGATCTCGATTAGAAAACGTGTATACAAAACCAATAAGAGCTGTTGCCAAAAAAAGTTTGAGTATAAACAAGATCGATGATGAGGAACAATATGCTCTATTATGCGCCTATCAAATGTCCCCCCCCCCCCCGCGCAGCCCCGGCCTCAGGTCCGATGTCGGGATTTGGTCACTTCAAAAGTGACAATCCCCCCGTCTTGGGTGGGGCAGCCCGGGGGGAGGAGTGTGGGAAAATTATTGAAAGGCGCATTACACTATAAACATGTACATCCTATACGACCGAGGACTTGGAACAATAGGATGTGTGCGATAACAATGGGTCCGTCCGATGCTGCCCGAGGACCTGCGCACTAGTCCTCGGGAGAATTTCGTGTACAAACCTTATTTCTTTTAATTTTTTTATTTAGGCCAAATAAAAAAAGAACATGTTTAGCGTCCTGCCTTTTTGAAAAAGGAAGGAGGAGGCCCTTTTTTTCTATTTTTTTTCCAAAACGACCGGCCGGGCTATTTTTCAAGATGGTTGCCAGCTTTTTTTTTTATATGGCCGCCACTTGGACTCAGGAAATGACATAACAGCTTTATATGGGCTATAGATGCAAAAGACAAAGAGGCAAAAACGATGTCACTGTTTAAAACTTATCATTTTTTCGGTTAAAAAGGGGGGGGGGGGAAAGAAAAAAAGGAGGCGGTCTCCTAAAAGGGAACGGGCGGGGACGCTAAACATGTTTTTTTTTAATTTGGCCTTATTGCCCCCGCCAATATACAGTACATGTTTATAATTGCAAGAAACGACAAAATATATCGCAGTTTAAACATACTGTTTGAATGAAGAAAACTTAAAGTGAACAAAAGTTGTCGGCCTATTTCAGTGGCTCTCCTTTTTTGGTCAATATTTTCTTGTCTTTCTTTTACTGGACTTTGTACGAGCTGTCTTATCTTTTACTGGACTTACGAGCGACCACGTGCTCGAATGCACGTACCGTGTAGTAGCACCTTCTTCAACATGTCCAATGACGCCCCTATAACCCTGGTATCGGGCCAAAAATACAGATGAGAAAACCTTTGGTGCGTTCCTTATTTAAAAAAATAAATGGAAAAACCTCCATTTTAGAAACCCTTCTTTTGGCCAACAATCCTGAATCGGAAAGATTTTAAAAGAAATGACTCATTCGTGCTTTTTGTCTGTGACAACCCCCACAATTAATCCACGCCTACCCCTTTTTGCAATCTTGACGTTTTTAATTCTCGGTTTTGTTTACAATACGGCTTTAGGCGATTTGAAGACCCATGATTATGGGACTCAAGCTTAATGTAAGTCCATGTTCTGTTCCATGACTATCAAGGCGCCTATGATAGGGAGGCGATGTTTCAGAAGAGTATCTCTATTTGGTTTTGAGCAAATAGCTTCTTACACTCTGAAGTTAAAGAGATATCCATACTGGAAACGAGACCGGATTTTCATAAACTCTATTTTTCGAACGCACGCCAACTTGCACAACACTACAGACCACCAGTGACGTTCGATAATTTGGACAGGCACGATAGGGAACCAGCGAAGTGAGCGACCTGCTGTACTGTCAACCTCGTCCCCAGTGCTTACTTTATTTCCAACCTGGTTTCCAATAGTAAGCAGGTAGTGATGGGCGCGTACTGTTCGACACACTGGGACAAAGTTGCTGTACTGTCAGATGACCAGAAATCACATGATTTGCAGAGAGCTTGTTTTGCATTTTGCGAAATTCTCGCATTGCATTGTTCGTGTGCTGAAGAGAGCGAGAGCGGCAGAACTTGCGTAGTTTGCTGAGAAACTTTCGTTTTGTTTGAGCCAGTTAGCTTCGGGTTTTCAAGATGAAGATCGTTCTGATGGCCGTTCTGCTGTCTGCAGCTGTCTTCAGCTCAGCGACAAGGTACATGTAACATACATGTATTAATTATTGGACTGTAATTTAAGTGTAAAATTAGAGATTGATGTGTTGAAAAATGAAAGACGTCGACAATGTATGCATGATGAATGACAATGCAATGACAATGTTGAATGTCGATGATGAATGAACATGACAATCACAATTTACAATGCTAGGTATTTATGAAAAGTCACCGAACCTATAGCTTTTGGAAAGAATGTTGCCTCCTGACTGCACCTTTTTTTCCCATTACATTGTTTTGTCTCAGTGGAGGTCTGTCAGTGTCATCTGATCACTGTAGCTGGAGTTACCCAGCCCTAAATTTTATCATTGGGTTGTCATTTAGGGCTGGAGGACACTTTTCACGTAACCAAGCAGCGTAGGCAGGTCCCAAAAAAAAATTGCCTGGAATAACCATTACACAGGTCCTTGAAGTAAAAAACGATCCACGATGAAGATTCAGCCTACAATTGCAGTGAAAAAAGGAGGAATAACCGCTAACCTGACAACCTTGCAGGCATGGCCAGGACTGCAATTGGTTTGTGCACAAAAAAAAATTGTGTACAATGAATGGCGGTCGATTTACCATGCACAGCGTTTTATTGTATTTGTAATGTATTGTATAATTAAACATGTTTGTAGTCATTATTATTGTATGCAGGGCCCCAATGGAAACCAGTTTTAAACTGTTTGGGCATACCCTGGGTAAAGAAATGGAATAAATAAATAAATAATATATGAAGAAAAAAGTGACGTCAGGTTGCAACATTTTTTCCTAATTTGAATGTTCAGTTTTGCGAAGGAAGTGGATAATGACCCTGACAAATTCTCATAATGCCAGAACAATCCCAATACAAAATGAGGAATGAAATTTGTAGGCCTATTATACTACTAGTACTATTTTTTGTTAATTACGTCAATGCAAAAAATGGGAAAACAGCAAAATTGTTTATAAATAAGAAAACTGGACTTAAAAGTTTACAACCAGACCAGTGGTTTTAGTAGTTAACCATTTTCAAGTGTCATATAATTTACAGATTGAGTCTCAAGATATGGTATTTCACAATTTTTATGCTATTGTGATTAAAGGTCAATATTCTATGGACTGATAAAAGTCACACAAGACCTGATGTTGCACTTACTTCCGTGACTTGCTGGTTTATTGTTGACCAGTTTCAATATTTGTTCAACTACTTCAGTTTCAAATAGGCCAAGTCAAAAAAATAACCAGTTTCTCCTTCCTGCCTGCTTTCTTTTCAATGCAACTTTAGAATCTAGGGGAAAGAGTGACGCCTCTTTTGGACACAAAAGTATCAGCAGAAGAGTCAAGGAATTGGAAGAATCCATCTTGGAAAATCCGCCATCTTGCAAAAAAAGATAACAATAAGGGCCTCCCCCCTTTTTCAGAGAGCCCGGACCAACTATTTTTTTTACTTGGCCTCATCATAAGATATATGAGGGACATTTTCAGTTTCATGTTTAGAACTTAAAGGGAATATACATGATTGGCTTTTGCTGTAATTTTCAGAAATGAAATATTTGAGGGGTAAGTATAATAGATCAAATATTGTTAGACTGACATGTTTGAAGGTTTGTGTTCGAAAATGCTGGAAAAAATCAAGAAAAACAAAAATGTTCAAGTAGTCTCGTTCCCTGACTCCACTAAATATAAAATGGATCAATCAATTTACAGATGCCGGAAACTTGTAAGGTAATGGAACCAGTCTAGCCGGCCTGCACCCGTTCATGAACATGTAACCAATAGCAAACAAAATTTGGACTGAAAGAAAAATGGTTAATTCGGAGCAGTAGTTGAAAAATAGTTAGGTTTTTCCAACGGTGGTCGGCTGACCACCGTTGGAAATTTTTACAAAAATACCATTTTCTTGAAAATGACTTCACACCAGGTGCCATAATTTTACAGGATGCTTTAGACTGTCATTTACCAACATCCTAGTAAGGTATTTCGTAAAAACTAGGTAGTTTTATTTTTCGATGTTTGCAAATGTTGTAATTTCCCTTTAAGCAAAGGGCACTGAAAAGTTTGCATTACCTCCAAAAAGTTCGAAGACACTGATCAAATGACAAACTTTAGTTGCGATGAAGAAAAAAAATTGTTAAAATGATGTTGAGGAAATTGTTGCAGCGGTGAATTCCAAAAGTTTTGCAGGATGTGTAAAGGACAAGTGCATGGACGCTAGAGGGCGCTCTTTTGTTGAATTACAAATGGTGTGGAACTTTTTTTTACCCCACCCCCAAAAAGTGTGCAGACATTGTCAAGATATCAAATGTAGGCCTACAAGTAACCTATGCAGCATGTTATTTCGGTGAAGAAAGTTTTTAAAGTTGGTATATAGGCATACGTGCTTTTTCAAAATTTCAATCTTATTTTCCAAATGAAATTTAAAGGAATATAATGTCCTGTAACAAATACATTTGCTTGTTTGCTTTTGCAGGCCTTTACACAGTTTTAAAAATTGCTTTAAATGGTGCATTCCAGTTCAGAAATTGCGCACCCTATTCAGAACAAATTATGAGCGTCCCACTCATAATTCAAAGGTTGAAATTAATTAATTGATCACTTGTCATGGGCTGATTTTTTGTGTGCGATGTCTCATTGGAAAGCTCATAACTAATGTAATGCTAAAAAATTATCAATTCAATTTGAAAATCTCTTTTTCAAGGTGCCACACCCAAACAGCACATGTACACCAACTTTAAAGTCTTTGGTTTTGAAGGATTACAAAAGGGAACTGAATATTATCACCAACTGAAAACGAATTTTTTTTAAACAAATAATTGATTTCACAAATTCCAAGAAAAGGGTTTTGCAAAATACTTAAATTATTAAAGAAACGGACCCTCCATTTAATTTGCTTTGTGTTTCAGGATTCCCCTGTACAGGATGCCTCGGGTTCGACGCACTCTGACTGAGAATGATGTGACTTTGAAACCGTCGAAGTATCAAACCCCAACGAACGGATCAGTCAGGATTGTTGATTACATGGATGTAAGTCGGTTATTTTTGTACTTATAAGTTAAAAAAAGCCTTATCCTCACTTATTAACCCTAACTCCCTAGGTCTTTTTGCTGGGATGTAGCCTCAATCCTGCAAAATCCTCCAATTAGCCTCATGGAAAAATAGCATATAGCCTGAATCCTGCAAATTCCTCCATCATTTCTTGAATATGGTCCTTGGAAAGGTGACCACTGCCTGAATCCTGCAAAATCCTCCGGTTATGACTGTCAATAGGCTGAGGCAGAGGCAGTGACATCCTGGAGCAGTGCGGAGGGTGTCAAGTATAATCAAGGACTAAATTTATGCACGGCTGAGCATAAACAACACAAGGTCCATATCTTATTAATGATTAATTAAGAGAAATGATCCGGAACTGCTAGTCTGTAATCTCCTTGACCATTACTAGATGATGGATGTACATATGCAATACGATTTGAAAAGTTAAGTTTAAGGGTCATTCACTGAGCTTGTCAATGATAACAGATAGCATATGAATTGCTCAGTACATGTAGGTTGTTGGCTTCCGATTATTACCTGTCGGACAGAGACACTGACAAAATGGGGAACTGCCAACACGGGGCTGGACAGCTCAGTTGGTAGAGTGCTTGAATGGTGTCTGGCAGTCGCAGGTTCACATTCTGCTTCGGTGAAACTGGTCAATTTTGTTTGTTTAACTGAATAATGCACCCACCAATTGTATTAGGCGCCTCATGACCCTTGCGGGACAGGTGTATCATTGGGTCATCAACAACCCCTGCGTCATTTTTGACCCACCTTTCACAAATTGTGATACATACATGCACACCTACTGAGGAAAAAAAACACCCCATAAGCTGTTTGACATACCAAATCATGAATTAACACACCCCTGTGTCACAGCATTAAAGAACATGACACACCCTTGACTCACCTTGCCCGGGAGGTATGGAGTCCGTCTTGCAATTGACAATTGCCTGAGGAGTGATGATTTGATTATTTAAGTTTACATAACGAGCATTTTTCTCCAGAACCTTCCTGATTCCTGATTGCTCCATATACTGGAAACCAAATGGGCGTGAACATCCGGGAATTGTTTACATTGGTCTTTCTAGCTCCTAGACTTGTGTTCTTGGAACTCAATGGTTCTTGAGTAAGGAGTGCTAATGGTAACACATAGGAACCAATGATTGAAAACTGGTGAGCAAATGAATAGATGTTTTCATCGGATGACATCACTCCGCATGGATCTATCACACTCTTTTTTGTCCCCTACCTTTAAAGCCCTGTGTTACTTAGTAGACACTGATCTCTGAGTTCCTCATCTAACTTGCAAAATCCTGCTAGCTGCAAAGGTTCCAAAGAACTTAATTTCCATACCAATGTTTGCCATTACAGGCGCAATACTACGGGCCAATAACCATCGGAACGCCCCCGCAGCACTTCAACGTTATCTTTGACACTGGGAGCTCAAACCTGTGGGTCCCGAGCGTAGACTGTAGCTGGCTGGATGTCGCTTGCTGTGAGTATGCTGCCAATTCATAGTAACAAGATGTTGTCCTCATTAAGGGGGGATCTGGCATTGCGGGCAAAATGAGGATCAACAAGTCATCTTTCATTTTCCTTTTAATTTTGGGTGGGTTGACCTATGACTTCTCAGCCAAAGAAGAGTAGAAGACCACCCCTAAAACGAATGACATTTCCCAAACTGGAAAAGTAGCCATTTTGAAAAAAGGATTCCTCCACAACCACAAGATGGCTAAGTAGCGCCACTTTTGGACCCAATGGTGACCTATCATCACAAAATGAGCTTAAAGTCAGACTTTTTAAGAATTTGAATATATATGTATATCTGGATTCTGCAAAACAAGAGCTTTCCAATGGTATGCAACATTAAGGGGTACTGAGTTCAGTAACGGAAATATAGACCACCAACTTACTTGAAGTTGTAAAACTGATTCTTGAGAAAATGGCATTTAAAAATCTCCCTGTTAAGTTTGTGTTACAGTGAATGAACTGTCAACTTAAAATAGACGGGACGAAATAGGTTTTAAAGATGTTTGACAGAACAAAAAAAATTGGAGAAAGGTGTACCGCAAATTGGCAATTACCGACTTTAAGTTCATTTCGTGGTGACTGGTCACATACATGTATGTCTCCAATCCTTAATTTCATTTTTGGCCTATTTACTGGGTTGCACCCATATGCATTAATCAGTTGCACAGAATTGTGTGCGCTTTGGGACCAGCATTACCAGTCTTGCCTCGTCTTGTTTTTAATTTTTTTTTTTTCTGTACTACCATTTTTGCCACTTTCTTTAGATTTGCACAACAAGTACGACTCCAGCAAATCGTCCACCTATCAGAAGAACGGCACCAAATTCTCCATTCAGTACGGCACAGGAGCCTGCAGTGGCATTTTGGATATTGACACCGTTAGAGTAAGAGAGTGTCAGAAAATGTCCTGTTTTTTTAGCTGCGGAAAGTAGCTCAAGATCGTGTCTCTCCGTTAGTTATTTCGTTAGTAACAAACATCAGCACATGCCTTTTAAGGCAATCAATCACTTTGTCCCTTGGCCTCGAAACAAGACGTGCTTCAGGTTCATGTCCCTGTGTTGCGATACTTTCATAGGTCTCTACTGACCAGCTACCAATTTATTGCAATCATGAAAAATTGGATCACTGAAGTAAAAAAACCCAGATGTTTGTACTGCCTCAGCTTCTGAGATAATTTCTAGCTTGTTCTTCTTCTCAAAGGGGCACTGTGTCCTGACATCCCCAAAAAGTTCATGTTTTAGATTGTTTACTTATCCTATTTCAAACATCTGGTTGAAAGGAAACCAATCTAATGTGTTACTGTTCCTGAGGAAAAAACGAAAAAACCTGATTGTTTACATCGGACACAAACGGCGTATGATACGTGTTTCCTGTCGTTTTGTGTGTGTTTCTAGTATTACACACGTACACAGCACCGTGCTCATAAACAGCGGTGACCAATCACCAATGCACAAAATGTGATTTCTTACACGTCCGCAAAAGGCGAACCCTTACAGCTGGAATCACAACTAGCACGAACAGCTCGACTTTTTGGGGACGCAAAAGTGGACCCCGAAAGTTGTCCTCGCACGAATAACACAAGAATACTACAAAAGTATACTACAAAAGTGCCCAGTTTTTAAAGGATAGTTGTGTGGATGTTTATATCCTACTTTTAAATGTTCTCTCCGATTAACATCATTTGATTCAAAACGCATTTTGTAGCCCAATTGGGCATATTCCAGAACGTAGTGTCCCATTAAAGGCGCATGAATATTTGCAAGTACCTGTAGACATTACAATGAGTTAATGAGAACATGTGTCTGTGACAGGTCGGCGATGAGACTGCTTTGAAGCAAACCTTTGGAGCCGCGACGCACCAACCGGGAATAACGTTCATCGTGGCCAAATTTGACGGCATCCTGGGAATGGGCTACCCAGCAATATCTGTTGACGGCGTAATTCCGGTCTTCGACACTCTGATGGCTCAGAAATCCTTAGACAAGAATGTCTTCTCCTTCTACCTCAACAGGTACATATATCTGACAAACCTAGACATCCAGGCCCAGTCCCAATCTTTTATTCAGTGGCTAGGGATTTGCTTGCCATAGGTACACTACATTGAATAGCCGTAGCCCTTTAATTACCAACATTGCAAGTTATTGGACTTAGCCTCTGTCACTGTAATCTTCCTCAAAATCATATTATATCTCACAGTGTACTGCCCATTTTTCTACAGGGCATCATGACGCTGTTAAGCACAGCAGCTATTTGTTTTTGAATAGAAAAAATGGTTACCAGCCAAATTGTTGAGTGATATACATACTGCCTGTGACTGGTACCTTGCTGTTTGTTTGCTTAGTTTGGTCCGTTGCAGTGGTTATGAAGGGCTTCTTTAGTAGGGTGGTATATCTGATCCAGGTCCGCGACGTCTAATGTCAGGAATCGGTTCCAGATTATGGAATCGGGTACCCGTTACCAACTTTACAAATTGCTTAGTAACTTCTCAGACAATAATGAAAAACAGAAGTTTTCAAAGTCATTTGTGGGGAATTTTCAAAATGAACACCAGGCTACATCGAAAAACCAAAACAGATTTCACATTAACGTGCATTTAAACGCGTGACAGATGATGCTCGCAAAAGTTGCAGTTTACACTATAAAGCCCTTCAGACAACTTCTGGGATTTTGAATTTTTAGGGTTGGGTTTCTTTTACGGGTACCCGGCTACCCGTGTTTTACTGGAATAGGGTACCCGGTTCCCGTACTACCTGTAAGTGCACAACACCAGTATTTGGGTCAGTTTGCCACATGGTCCCAAGTAAAAGTAAAGTATGTGCCGAGCCAATATGGTCCATTAGGCCGGCGTTTATCTCCAGTTTTCTTGGCATGAAACGACCGACAATGTTTCTACTCCCCCTGGATGAGATTTCAGTCCATCGCAGGTTACTCTCAATCTAATGCCGGTACCCATTTATACTCCTGGGTGGAGAGAGTCAAGTGGGGATGAAGTGGCTTGCCCAAGGACACAGTGTATGACCAGCAGCTGGATTCGAACCCCTGACCCTCTGATCCTGAGTCACGAACCCTAACTGCTTGATTACACTTTCCCCATGTCGTCTTTGTTCGTCACTAACTGGCACATGCTGACTGTCACTTGTGATCCGGGCAGTGCTATCATAGGGGTACCCTGTAAGGCCAAAAAATGGGCTAAATCCAGCCTAGTGCGTAAACATGCATGAAAAGGACTTCCATTGAACGGCCATTCTAAATCAATAGACCCAAGACATCATGGCGTCACGCTTTGTTTACTTGTGCTCTTTCCTATGGGAGCAAGGTGGGGACGATTGGCAGGCATCCCACCTGGCTCCCATAGGAAAGCGCACATGTAAACAAAGCATGATGTCATTATAGGTGTTTAAACAGAGTTTTGTGAGATGTTAGACTAGCTTTACTAATCACGCCTTGCGTTTTATTTTTTTTTTAGGAAGGAAGGTGCTGCAGTTGGTGGTGAGCTCATCCTAGGATCTTCCGATCCGAAATACTACACTGGCCAATTCTCCTACGTTGATGTCACCAAACAGGGCTACTGGCAGTTCAAAATGGACAAGTAAGAATAGACACATTTTTGATCCTTGAAACTGTTTCTCCATAAAAATACTAAAACTTGAATTTTTCTTCATACTTAGTTTGTAGATTGACACAGTGGTACTTTCGTCACTTTCCGCCACTGTTGGTGTCTAGTTTTTATTTCCTTTTGTTTTTTTATATCTTCTAGAGTTCAGATTGTGAGCAAGGGCCTGACTGTCTGTGAGAATGGTTGCCAAGCAATCTGCGACTCTGGTACTTCGCTCCTCGCTGGCCCCACAGCAGACGTCAAGAAGATCCAAGATGCCATCGGGGCTGCGCCTCTCTTTGAAGGGGAGGTAAACAGCTTCACTGGTTCCCACTCTTCCATTGGTTCCCACTCTTCCATTGGTTCCCACTCTTCCATTGGTTCCCACTGTGTCATTGGTTCCCACTCTTCCATTGGTTCCCACTCTTCCATTGGTTCCCACTGTGTCATTGGTTCCCACTCTTCCATTGGTTCCCACTCTTCCATTGGTTCCCACACTGTCATTTTTTCTCACCCTGTCATTGGTTCTTATTCCGTCATTGGTAATTCCCACTCTTCCATTGGTTCTCACTCTGTCATTGGTTCTTATTCCGTCATTGTTCTTACTCCGTCATTGGTTCTCACTCTGTCGTTGGTTCTCACTCTGTCATTGGTTCTCTCTCTGTCATTGGTAATTCCCACTCTTCCATTGGTTCTTACTCTGTCATTGGTTCTAACTCTGTCGTTGGTTCTCGCTCTGTCATTGGTTCTCACTCTGTCATTGGTTCTTATTCCGTCATTGGTTCTTACTCTGTCATTGGTTCTAACTCTGTCGTTGGTTCTCGCTCTGTCATTGGTTCTCACTCTGTCATTGGTAATTCCCACTCTTCCATTGGTTCTTACTCTGTCATTGGTTCTAACTCTGTCGTTGGTTCTCGCTCTGTCATTGGTTCTCACTCTGTCATTGGTTCTTATTCCGTCATTGGTTCTTACTCTGTCATTGGTTCTAACTCTGTCGTTGGTTCTTGCTCTGTCATTGGTTCTCACTCTGTCATTGGTAATTCCCACTCTTCCTTTGGTTCTCACTCTGTCATTGGTTCTTATTCCGTCATTGGTTCTTACTCTGTCATTGGGAATATGTTGATTTTCTTAATCCTTGCTTTGCTACACTCTCCAAAACACTTCAATATTTGCAAATTTCGCAAGGATTAATGAAGCAAGTTCAATCAAAGAGTATTCTTGGTATATATTAACCCTTGCTTTCTCCAGGCCAGTGGTTTTACAAGCAAAATTGTACAAGCAAAACCAAATTGTTTAGGGTGTAGCAAAGCAAAGGCTTAAATGTTAACATTGAACATTTTGATCTGTATTTTCTCGCAGTACCTTGTGGACTGCAGCAAGATCCCAACCATGCCCAACGTGACCTTCACACTGAACGGGAAAACGTTCACACTGACACCACAGGACTATGTACTGAAGGTAAGGGACTAGCGCATGAACTGTCGAGGGCGCTGTGTAGAACAGAAATCTTTGTTACGGAAAGTTATGGTTTTTTTTAATCTGGTCCCTATGAAACTGCAAGTCATTTCACTGCATTACCAAATGGCACTCCATACCTCACATTGTGTGTGGATACTTCTGAAGTACTTTTTTTAATGTCTGTAATGGTTCCACCAAGTCGACCATTGTAAGGAAAGGGTTCAGTTAAAATTCCAGATTTGAGAAAAGATTCTTTAAAAAAACTGTAAATCAGAAGGAAAAAAACCGACGAAAAAATCTCGAAATCAGAAAAAATCCTGAAAGATCTCACCTCTGATAATTCATCATTTCTTGACAGGAATCGACAGCGGGCGAGACCTTGTGCCTGAGCGGGTTTCTGGGCATGGACATCCCCAAACCCATGGGCCCTCTCTGGATCCTGGGTGATGTCTTCATCGGGAAATACTACACCGAGTTCGACCGCGATAACAACCGCGTTGGCTTCGCCACGGCTGTCAAGGGTTTGGACATCAAAGTTGGCAACTAAACTGCGACGCGTTCCACAAATCTGTGCACCGACCGAGGGTGGTTTTTTAATTCGCTAAACCACCAGGGATGTAGTCAAGTCCATCACAAGTCCTCCAGTCCCAACTCAACTCACAAGCTATTCAAATGAGCTTTGACAAAGGCATTCCTTTGTTATTGTTCATCTGCTGTTTCTTGTGACTGGACTTGTGACTGGACTTGTGACTGGACTTGTGACTGGACTTGTGACTGGACTAAGGGGAAAAATATAATGGTTGTGCAAAGTTGCATATTTTTGTGTTTACATTTTGGAAATTCTGTATGTGGATTATTTCAACTTTTTTATAGTCAGTTTTTACAGAGAAATATTGATTACAAATACAGTATGCATGCGGACAGCGGTCACAAAAGTATAACTCGTTAAAATTGTTACTTGTGTTAAAGGACGTAAAAAACAAATAAGAGAATTATTACGAACAATAATTTGACCCAGACCTTGAAGACAAATTTTAGTCAAGGTGCTTGCAACTACAGATTGCAACAAATTTGGAGAAAAAAAAATGTCAAAACTTGTTTATGAGCAACTTGAAAACTTCAACCGTTTTGATTCTCACACCCAAAAACAAAATCTTTAATTGTTTACTGAAGTTTACCTAAATTGAGATATTGTGGTAAAGTAGGTTGCTTGTGAACACAAATACTCCATTCATCACAGTGGGACTTGAACCAGCTTTCTAAAATCTTTAGTGCCTTTATCCCAGTGATATGATGTCTTAATGTAATATAGAGGTTGTATGTAATTTTTTTCTTAACCCTTATTTGTCGTGGTAAAAAAAAAAAATCTGAGTTTTCTGTGTATTTCTGCAAAAGGAAAAGTTGGTAAAAGTTGGTAATATTAGCAAGTCCACCACACCACATAAAATCTGGTGTGGAACTGAAATTAGACTATGAATGTAAATTCTTTTTTTTTTTTTCTTGGTCGTTCTACTTTAAGTTCTGTGTATACATAATTGCTACTTTCATTTGATATGAAGACACCATGCTGGTTTGTATTCGGAGAATTGTAATACCTAAATGTAGAAATTGTAGTGCCTAAGGCCAAAAAAAAAAAAGTTTCCGGTTTCTGGTATGGAGCTTGCCCAAAAAGTGGTGCGGCGACTTGGCTTATTTTTTTTTACCTGATTTTTTTGTTTCAAATGTCGGCTGATGACTGCAAATGGTGCCCGACTAAACTTAGTGCAAATATATGGGAGTCCAGAGAGGCCACATAAAGCTTATTCTCGACCATAACCCAATCTCAAAACACGTTAAAATTGTGCTGCAGCAGGATTCAAGTCAAACCAGTGAGTTTGGCGGTTTTGAGACATCATCTTTCATTGAAAAAAAAAACTTTTCATTTTGCCGATGCGCATGGCTACGGCGACGCTTGCGCGCATACCAGAAACCGGAGACTTTTTTTTTTGGCCTAATAAAGATTTTTTTATTTGAGTGTAACATGATTAATGTTTTAGATGTACCTATCGTAAAAAAAATCAGGTTGATTTTAAATGAGGTAGAATGTGACTAACGGAATGTTTAGCGGCAATTTTTATCTCACATGTGTTTGTGGTGTTGATGGAATGAAATGTCCATTTCTGAGCTAAGGATACCCAAAGATCTTTTACAGAACGTTGGTCAAAAAGGCTGGGGAAATATACAAATATTGTGGATAACAATGTAAGCTTGAAAACTATTAACGTTTCATTAGTAGTCTCAAAGGAAATAAGAAAAACTAAAATTCTTTTCGAAATGATGTAGTTTTTTGTTGCTTTTTTGCTAATGAATTTCCGTAAAAAGCATGGCAAAATATGTGACTTACTGTGATAAATATATGTATACAAATGCAGTTATTTTGTTAATTTACTGAACAATAGTAATAAAAGTGTATGCAATCTTATGTAATTATTGTACGTTTTTTTTTTAAATTTTGTCTGGAATGTAAAGAGTTTGTTAAAAGTCGTGGAGTACTCTGTTTTAAGACTTGGACAGAGAAGGCTGAGATATATGTACCAATCTGGTAAAGATTTACATTACAATTAAAGGGCAATCTCTTGTTGAAGATGGAAGTTTCAATTTATCCCCTCATTCAAGGAAAGTAACATTTTTTTCACCCTTCAGAGTTTTAAGTTGCAATAACATAAGAAACAGTAAAGAGTAAAATACCTCGTGTTTGGCACCAGGGTGAATCGAACCCGCAACCATCAAATTGAGAGTCGGAATGCACGTCAACTATGCCAGTATCTCAATATCTGTCTTCTCAAGACACTAATATTTGATAAATTTCAAGATTTTAATATAGACATCGCACCTGTATTTCGTACAATTGTCAGTTCCCACTATGATCGATTGCTCTATTTTGCACAAGAAAACTGAATCTATTTGTTTTATTGATTTATTTAATTTCATTACAATATACATGTAGTGAATTATTTATTCATCTTAAACCTAAACCCTGTAGGCCAAATGCGACCTGTGCTTTTGAACAAAACCATTTCTCTTCTCCAAACAAATTTGACGAAAAATATTTTTTTTACCCCTACCTTTGACGTCTATGATATGCATGCAAATTGGGCGATTAATTATGCGAAACAAGACTGCTGCTTGACCTCGAGATTCTGACCATTCAGTGGGCGCCTTCAATCGGGCCTTTGGCAACTTATTGTTTTACACAAACATGGCAGATAAATGACCAATCAAAAGCTTAGGCCGATTTTCTGCTCGAAATGACATCACAAGTTCTAAAAGCAGCTCCGATTGGCTGGTGCGTGGTGTACGTGGCATTAAATTTGCATGTTTGGATAATCAGATGTTGTTGCGGAGCATGCAGGCTCTGTTTAACAACGGATCGATACTCAGACTAACAATGAGCAAACTTTATGTTAACATTGTTACAAATCACGTTGAATCATAATTTATTTGTACTCAAACTCACTGATTGTTGCCTTATAGCCCAGCATCACACCAACGGCACCCTCAGGTATCCAAAAATAGCAGTGGCTTTGGAAAAATTGAACTAGCTAAAAACAAATTGAAAATAAAAAGGTATGATAATTTTATACAATTCAATAAATTATGTATTATGCACAGTTGATTTTTTTTAAAAAGATAGATTATTGCATAGTACCTTTGGATGCCCTTAACTCAGTGAGATCTTTTTCCCCCTTCACCCAAATACTGACATAGTTACTTTTAGGACCCCTCTTTTGTTTGTTAGACGTTGCTTTTCTTACAGAAGTCAACCAGATTATTTTTTGACTTTACTTCCCTTTTCCTTTAGAGCAATGAGTCAGAAAGAACACTAATCTTGCCTTCGCCAGCTGTTACTTTACTTCGCCAACTGTTACTATAGTCGAATTCAAAACATGGAGGGGTCCTAAAAGTAACTAGCACCCAAATCCTTTGCTGTTGAACATTAGTGCTAAAACTAGAGGGCGCTGTCAGCTGGTAACAGTGTCTTGTGGAGTCATTACTGAGCTATGGTGTCCAGGGTCCTTATTCACAAAGCACCCGTAAATGTTTGCGTTGCGGGGACCCGTAAGTGGATGTTAAGGGCACGTAAGACTTGCGTTAAGTGGTATTCACGAAGCACCCTTAGAGTTCCCTTAGAGGACCCGCATGTTGCGGGCACCCGCAACTAATTGGTTGAACATTAAAAAAAACATGCCAAGACATTTTATCCCATTTTAGAGAACTTGCTCGTTGTAAAAATTACAGGCAGATTCGATTAAAGATTAACTTGTCTTTGTTTTCTTAGCAAACAATCAACACCAATCAAGCATGTCTTTAAGAGCATGTTCTTCCACTCATTTAAAGAAAAAAATGAATCACTAAAATTTACCAATGCTTTCAGAAGTTATGCATGTGTTACAAACGTAGCCCATTTTTATAGCTGTCCTTGAATGTCATTGGAAGCTATTGAGTTAATAGTGAGAATCATATTACAGACAAACTTTAAAATGCCAACAAGACTTTAAAGGAAAAATGCAGTGGAAATTCAGCCCATCTTGTTCTCTTACACATTATTATGTGTCGCAACAATATATACAGGATCGTAATACTTGTTTTCGTTGGAAGTGACAAGAGAGTGGTAGTTTTTCAATTGTTAGCAAATCCTTTCATCAAAACAATCGCATGTAATGGGTGCTATTTTGCTTTTGACGCACAAGGAACTCCTTGTCAAAAGTGCATATGAACAGTACAAACATAACTCCTTCAAAGTTACCCACAAAAAAAGCTTCGAAAAAAACTAGTGGCGACTGCTAGTGTCCAAACAAGCTGTTTAACATGATAAACAAGTAAAAAGTGGAACTTACTGCAAGAAAATAGAAACAAGTGTGATATAATTATATTTGTACTCAAAGCTGTAGAGACACTTCTGTTCTGCTTTGAATGACATCACGCTTTGGCTCATGAATATGGAAAGTTTCAATAGCATAAAAATTGAAATGTTGAAATTTCTCCCTTTTACTACTACAAAAGAAGATTGAAAGTCATAGTAACATGGCAAGAAAGCTGTTTTAAATCTATTTAAGTCATACAAATCCTTTTGCAGGTTCCCTTTAATAATTGAACTCAAGACAGAAACCACTGTCAGAATGTGTGCTTTCAATATATAAGAAACAAGTTAGCTCTGTTTTTTTTTAAATATTGATGGTGATATTTGTATCCTTTCCCATGCTCTTGTTCATTCAGTGGAGGTGGGAAAGTCCACGTTTCATTGTACTCAATGGGTGTTCAGTTTGCATCACGTGATGAGTGGTAAACAAGTTTGTGATCGTTTTATTGAAATAGACATAACTTCGGATTAGACTGTGCAATTTAGGTGAAATGTTCACACTTAAAATCCCATAAGATGTACTTCGTCCCATAAAAAAACAAAGGGCGGCAGTCGCTTCCCAAAAGTGGAGGACATACCTATTACGGCATGGAGCGGGCCCCGAAATTTTTTGGATTCTAGATGCTTAATCTGTGGTGCGATCCGAGGCAATTTCTGAGCACTCAAACCACTTTTGTGAGCAAAAGATCATCTTTTAAACATCATTTTTTTGAGTTTGGAGTCATTGAATCAGCTAATCAGCTACTATAGAATCATTATGTAGGCTACAATTTTTATTCGGGGATAGAAAAAGTGTGTGTGGGGGGGGGGGGGGGGGGGCGGGGGGGGGGGGGCAACGATATGATATCCGCCACTTAAAAAAAAAAAAGTGGGGGGAGGACTTGTCCCCCACCGATTGACGCCCATGAAAATGGAACGCGCCAAATATTTTGAACACATTCTTCAAATTTGGTCACTTTCTTTTTAACTCATCCTATAGTTGGTTCAACCGGTCACGGAAGATGAACCGGCACGTCAAATCAGTTCGTAGATCCAAAATACATGCCAAGAGTGCCGCCATTGTGACAATCGAGATGATCCACGCAAGTTGTGGTGTGCTTGCGGGACGTCTGGAGGTCCCGCAAATTTACGGGTGGTTTACGGGCACACGCAGATTTAAGGGGGCTTCGTGAATAACCCGCAAGTGCTTAAGTGAGGGTTGCGGGGAAGTTGCGCGCCCGCAAGCATTTACGGGTGCTTTGTGAATAAGGACCCAGAACTACAGCTGCGTATATACGGTCAGCTCCCACATAGTTGTAGAGGCTGATGACCTAGACAATGGGCTCCGTGCACAAGTACCCCCTCAACGGTAAGAAAGGGAGAGTTGGTGGAGACCACTGGGGGAGACATGCGAATGCATTGCAGACCATGCCTAATGCTCACGCGAAGACGCTATGGCTGTGTGCACATTCTGGGTAAAATTAGTCATGTGTGCTTTACATGCGTGAACCAGTATGCACACACAGGGTGTGTCCTAGGCCAAGTTCGCGCAAGGACTATAGTTGACCAATGGTTAACTAACGTTTGCCCGAACAAGTCGACGGTGGTTGACTACGCTAGTCGACTATTTGGAACCAGCCTACTGGGGCTGGTTGCTTCGCTGGTAACCAATAGCCGCGCGCAGGCGTAAGGTACGTCACAAATCAAGCACTAGTCGACTAATGGTCCTTGCCCGAACTTGGCTCACGCTGTCCTCCATGCTCTGGATAGAGTTAAAAAGGCGCCCTCTCTTGTTGGGGCACGGAGCCCATAGCTGTAGAGACAAATGATCAAATGATGCAGCCAGTTGTCGATACAATAGCACCCCCGAGTCAGATTATGTCCAACCCACTTCCAATCTCTGACAGTCAGTACATTCCAGGCTGTGAGAGGTCGGTCAACAACATTTGTAGTCACACCTGCAACCCCTCCTCCCCCCCCCCCCCAATCCAATTAGTCTGGCGATGCCCACGTTTGAGTTCCGTCACTGAGTTTGGTTATCCAAACTTTGGCTCACGGAGCGTTTTCGTCCTGTTCGCTCGTCCGTACCGTCTTGCAGCATGTAGGCCGGGTGGTAACACACCTCCCCTCTGCTGTTGATATAGCGGAGCGCGGGGTTGGGGTCAGTACCCTCCTTGCTGCCCACGGAGGTGTAGCTGCCAAGCCAAAACAAAGACCAAGAATAATACCTTCGTTAACGCTGCTGGTCAGAAAAACCTTTTGCAGGAACGCGTTAAGTAATTTTTTACATACTCCAAAAGTTGTGGCGGGGTCACAAAATTTCATATTTCACAAGTTTCTCATTCAAACATGGCCAAATTTGATGAGAGCCCCTTTAGCCAGAGTTGACCGTTTCACAGCAGATAGTTGAGTGAATTTTGACCCTCATAGGGCTCGTTCAATGACGGCCATCTCTGTAGGAGAACTGCAACTGCGTATTTTACGCAATCAAGCACGCATTGCGCAGTGTTGAAAATGTTCCAAACACGCGCGCTTGTTGCTCGAAATGTGTTCGACATACGACGCAGCCAATGTGAGTTATGCAAGTTGACGCTCAAAATGACGATGCGCGTGGATGGTCTGTAGGAAATGACGTCATTTGAACGAGACCTATTGTAACATGTACTGCAAACTGTAGTACGGTCCTGGAACCATGCATGGAAAATGCTAAACCAACGCTGAGGATTAAAGGTAGAGTCCATCATTTGTAATTTGTGCATTTTGTTCGTTTGAAGCAACAAAAGAGTTCAAAATCTAATGAAGGATACTGAGCAACTAACCTGATGAAGTTTCAGCTAAGCTTCAGCTGTACATTCCGAGAAAAACAGCATTCTAAGATCTCAATTTCAAATCAAAAGTTGCTGAATCATGTTTTGAATTGTTTTGAATTGCAACTATACGCGACGTCGCGCACTGATCCGACAAATTATAACAACCGCGCGCGCGTGTGCGTCGTTCGAATACTTGTGCGCGCTGCGCTGAATAACAAAACGAACTACTAATTTAAATTTTCCTACGGTGCTTCTTAAGAATCACCGTTGGAAATGCCTTCTTTCGTTGATTACTTCAAAATGACAGCTTCCCAGAAAGAATAATTTCACAGGGAGTTTAGTCTCCTTACTATCTTTCAACCAAGTTAGTTTTTCAACAATAATTACGCCAGTTACTTTTCGGATGGCTGCAAATGATGGACTCTACCTTTAACCAAACTCATATTGCAGTTTTGCTAGAAGTCTTCCTGAATCCTCAAAAATCCTCCAATTTGCAGGAATCCTATGGTACATCTTTGAACCTACAAAATTTCAAGGATCACCAAGTCCAACGTAAAATAACAGTAACTGGGCTCTACAATTAAAAATTATGTGCAATCGTCCAAAACCACCCAGTGGAGCTTGAAGAACCTGAGAAGTTTGGGGTTCAAAACCCACACGATCACTTACAATTGCCTTGAAACCCCCAAGCCATTTGGTTCAGCATATAGAATCATTTGCTTTTCATGCACTTTGTTTGTTTCCAACAATACCATCACTCAAAATCCAAAGCAGAATGTTCAAAACCTAAATTGTTGTTCAAGAAAACAGTAAAACACCATGCCCAACCTTTTGATCACAAAACACGATTTTGTCAATAGATGTAGCACTTTTTGTTTCCCAAAATCAGTCAACTGACTGATCATTGGAAATCACCTACTTTCTTGATTTTTTCGAAATGACAGCAAGCCAGACGGAATAATTTCACAGGGTGTTTAGTACCAGTACGATCTTTAATCCAAGTAAGCTTTTGGATAATTATATATGGAAGGTTACTTTTGGGATAAATGCAAATGATCCTATGTGCCTTTACCTCCAACCTTCTTCTCTCAATCTTCAGCCTCAATGTTACTTTTTTAAATGAGCGGGATTCAAACTTTATGCATATTGGGTGTTTTTGTATCACTTTCAATTTGCGCACTGTATTTCTTTCAGGCCAGACTTTGATTCTCACCCTTTGTCGTAGATTCGACAGTAAGGCACAAAGAGTGTCCGCAGGAATTCCCAGACGTCGTGGTAACTCCACTGTAGCATGGGGTTGACTCTCATGTACTGTGGCCAGTCACTGTCTGTCATTGCGAAGGCACCTAGACTGTCTGTCAGAGGAAAACAGAAACCAGAGTCATGTTGGGGTAGTGATACGTTCCTCATCTTCTAACTCCGTGGCTCTGGTTCAAAATCCCATCCTTCAATATTATTAAGGAGCAAGTTAGATTGAGGACAATTGGTTGATATCGATTCATGACATCTGTAAATCAGTGTGCCAATATTTAAGAACACACTTCTGTAGTCACGTGATCGAACGTCATCGTTTGACTCCTCAGTCTTCATATAAAGTGCACTTACGTCAGTCCCAGGTAAAGAAACAAGATTTCCAATGAACTGTGACAAAGGCATTCCGTTGTCATTTTTCATCCAATTAATTGTGATTTGACTTGTGATTGACTTGTGAGGATATGTGCTTGACATGTGATCGACATGTGATTGACTTGTGGTTAACATGTGACTGACTTGTGGTTAACATGTGACTGACTTGTAACTGTTTTGTAATTGACTTGTGATAGCGTCCTCCACAGTTTCTTAATGAAGTCCATATACCTGCATACGGGTCGGACTGTCTCCTTCCAAATCACAATTAATTGTGATTTTGCTTGTAATTGACTTGTGAGGACATTTGCTTGACTTGTCGGACTGTCTCGTTCCAAATCACATTAAATTAAGATTTGGCTTGTGATTGACTTGTGAGGACATGTGCTTGACTTGTGATTGACATGTGATTGACTTGTGATTGACTTGTGGTTAACATGTGACTGACTTGTGGTTAACATGTGACTGACTTGGGACTGACTTGTAATTGACTTGTGATTTGACTCGATAACAACTTTGCTAAAGCACCCTCCACTGTGAGTTTCTTAAAGGAGTCCATACCTGCATACGGGTCAGACTGCCTCGTTCCCATGAAGACGGCTTGTATCTGTGGATTCTGCTGCTTGAGAACTCCCAAGGCTTTCTTGATAGGACCCGTCACCCGTAGGACTTTCAAATTATACCTGAAACAATAAGTACAGAAGACAAAAAGGAATTTCTGCCATCTATGGACAATTCCATAGGATAGTGCCTTCCAAGAAACCCCCCCCAAAAAAAATTGAAAATACCATCTAGCCAACTGAAATTTTCCTATCTGTAGTGATAGACATTTTTGCTCAAAGTCCTTACTATTTAGCAAAACATTTCCTTAATTTTCCAACCTTCTAATTCTTTAAGTAAATTGCCCAGTCCCTTTCTGGTTTTTTTTGCTGCGGACAGCTGCAGCTCAACTAGTCACTGTGTCTCTCCGTTAGTCCCTACATTAGCTAGTTCGTTAGTTAGTTAGTTAGTAACAAACGTTCCGCAGAGCTGCAGCTCAATGAAAGGTGATAATCCGGGGGACAATAGCCGCATGCCTGCTGCATAGCAGCTCTCGAGATCTCATTCATAGACAACGGCCACGCAAAGTGCACGCAAAGAAACATTCCACGCAAAGTGCAACACAAATTCGTTGGGAGTTCGCAGCTTTGGAGATCATATCGAGCTTGTTTTCAGAAAAAACGCATTAAGCAAACACATTGACAAAGTTCCGGACTGTTCTGGCTGGGCCCGAAATCTCAGTTAGTAGTGCGTCGTTAATGTTGTTGCCATATTCTGGAGGTTAAAGGTTCAAATCCCACTCCATTGAATGTTTTTATTCAGACCCACCTTTGGACTGATTCTGTGATGAACGTCTCTAGTTCTGGAAACGAGCGTTTGGTGTCGACGTACAAAATCTGTAAAGGCTCCTCCTGCTTGGGAAATTTCCTAAATGGAGAAATAGAAAACCCCAAAACCAATTTAACAGAGAAACGATATCAAAATACGCCAACATTTGATGTCTGGTTTTATGATATTCTCAGGACTGTGCAGCCTAGCTACTATTAACTTTAATAAACAACAAGGGAAACTGAGTAGCTGCATTATAATTATTCTAAAGTTGAACACAGAAATTGACTGGAGCGGGGTTTGAACCTGCGACCTCCGGATTGCCGTTCCGGTGCTCTACCAACTGAGCTATCCAGCCCTACGTTGGTAGTTTCTCATTTTGTCAATGTCTTTGTTTAAGGGGGCTAGTCAGAAGCCAACATAGGGCTGGATAGCTCAGTTGGTAGAGCACCGGAACGGCAATCCGGAGGTTGCTGGTTCAAACCCCACTCCAGTCAATTTCTTTGTTCAACTTTTAAAATCAGTGTTAATTTACATGGGAATAGGGGGGCCAATTATTATTCAAAATACACAGAATGTATTGTAGGTTTCCTGATCACTGTTGGATTTGGAAAATTTAGAAATCCGAGTGGATTTTCTTTCAAAGTATGTACCTTTTTATGACAGCGTAAACGAGGTGCAGTAACGCAGTGCAATCCTTCCCGCCATTGAAACCAAGACAAATGGATGACAGTGGATACTTGTCAAGTGCCTCCTCAATTATCCTCACTGAGGGGCCAACGAAGCACGCTAACTGTGCTGATTCAGGGGCCACCAGGAGCTGCTGTAACCGCTGAGCTGAGTTGCCAGCTGGGTCCTTTTCATAACTGACGATAAATTCTGCAAATGAATGGCACGATTGAAATTAATCTCTTACTAGTGCTTGTAAAAGAGCAAATAAATTGACAGATTGGGAGATGGCCAAAATAGGGCTTGATAGCTAAGACAATTAGTGGAGCCTTCTGGAGACAACTTGTTCAAATCCTGCTAGTTTTTGTTTTGTTCATTAAAAAAAATTGGTTAATCTTAAAAATATTCCTTGTAGTAGTGAAAACAAGTTTGTCTTAAAACACGGCCGATGGGTGGACAACTTGATGACGTGGAGTGGTCTCTCAGTTAATGAACTAAAGGCTACTGCACTGCGGAGAACCCAAATTCAACATCACACGTCACCGCCTATTCGTAGAAGCAGGCGCCAACGGGCCAAAAAGCTCTCGGCGATATGATATATGATCTTCACAGAAGCTCATCAAAACTGGACTGTGGTTTCAAAGAAAAACTATGACAATGCTGTTTTTTACTATGTGGGAAGGGGTAGATAATTAGGAATAATTCTGAGAAGAAATCACAAGATTCTAGAAGGGTATAACATGTCTCTTTTTTTTACCCTCAGAGTGGATGTAGAGGCTCACCTTTTGGCAGCATTTGAAGGAGTTCTCTGTGCGCTTTGTCCACCGTTTCCTTGCTGTTTGTTTCTAACGTCAGCTTCACTTTGAAATAGCTGGGAAAAGTCAAACATGAACGATAACACAGATGGGCAATTCAGGCGATTCCCAATGCAGAGCGCCACCAAGAGTTTGCCATGGAGAGTCCATTATTCAAGTTCACGGTCGACAAAGCACGGCCCATTTGAATGAGTGCCAGTAGACAACTTGAGCTATTTTTGCTATAGATTGGGGCACAACGTTCTGTCGCCTTACAAAAAACACCATATTGACAAAAAGAAAAGAAAAGGGCAACTTGAAACATGTAACCGAATCATATGATTACGAAAGCACTGACAGGAAAAACTAAGCATTTCAAATGTCCCGCGCTGTGAATTTGTCGACCATCTCCCACAATGCACTGGGAAAAATGAACTTTCCGTGGAATACTCTCGGTGGCGTACTGCATTCTGAATCGCCCGAATTCCAGCCTAATGTAATGCCCATGACAGGGCTTTTAAGAGCTTGGCGAATACACCTGAAAATGTATTTTTCAAACCTTATACATCCATCGTCTAGTAATGGTCAAGGAGATTACAGACTAGGAGTTTGGATCATTTCTCTGAATCATTAATTAGATATCATGGTTAACTGGCTCTGTCACAGACATATCACTTCCTTTCATTATGATGAAATTGCCCAGTTCAAAAAATGACACATACCAAAAGGATTGCATGGGATTTGTAGGTGCATGTCATAACTCAGAACAGTCTGGATGCACAATTGAAAAGGTTCATCCTAAACCCTCCAAGAACCAAAAAAAAATACACCAGATTTTGGATGGTTTGCAGGATTTAGGAGGGTAGAGCCCGGTCACTTTTACTTTAAATGGGGCTCGATGCAACTTGAAACTTGGTAGATACATAGAGTGTGCCATTGGGTTCCAGCACAGTGGAGGATTTTGTAGGATTGAGGAAGGTAGACCCCAGCCATTATTACTTTACATGGAGCTTGATGCAACTTGAAACTTGGTAGTTACAAAGAGTGTGCCATTGGGTTCCTGCACAGCGGAGGATTTTGTAGGATTGAGGAAGGTAGAGAGCCCAGCCACTATTTCTTTACATGGAGCTTGATGCTCCTTGAAACTTGGTAGGTACAAAGAGTGTGCCATTGGGTTCCTGCACAGCGGAGGATTTTGTAGGATTGAGGAAGGTAGAGAGCCCAGCCACTATTACTTTACATGGGGCTTGATGCTCATTGAAACTTGGTAGGTACAAAGAGTGTGCCATTGGGTTCCTGCACAGTGGAGGATTTGTAAAGATTCAGGAGGATTCCTTTCCAAATTGCCGAAGAATTATGTTTTAAGTTTGATACTTTTTGCCACTCACCTGTGATCTATTTCGGGATAGGAACCAAGTAGCACCGTGTCCTTGTACGTAGCATTGAAGTTGTTTAGAATATCTGCCACGTCCATTTCTGAACGGTTCATGTAGATCTCTCGCATGTGGAATGACGATTCTAAATGCTGGAATAACTCTTTCTGTGGACCAATGAGAAACCAGTCATCTAGATTAGTCCTTTCCGGGATCTCAAGTATCTTGAGATATGAGGTGGTACTGTAGGGATCAAGTCAATTGTGATTCAATAGCAACACAGATTGACCAAGGAATGCTCAGCGAGTAGTTGTGACCTGCCATATCATAATGAGGAATAACCCCCACATTTGACTTTTTAAGTTACATACATGTTAAAGTGCAAATCATTGGCTTTCCAATGATACCAAATTTATTTCTGTATTCCAAAAATATGCAGCAGAAACTTCGACAGTGTTCCGCCGAACTTCACCGACCTCAATTCGAGAAAAACAACTTTAAAAAAAATAAATAAAATAAATGCATTGTGCCATCAACGGCAGTGAAAAATGTTCTTCAGTTTGTCCACTTTTGGTGTTTTTATTTTCTAACAAAAATGCATAGTGTGAATCTTGGATACCTTATTCAGAAAACAAGACTTTAATGTAAAGCCAAAGAGAATTGCACTACATATTTTGACCTTGTATGGCAGGACTGTGGTCTAGTGGTTAGGGTTTGTGACTCATGATCAAAGGGTCAGGGATTCGAATCCAGCTGCTGACCGTATGTTGTGTCTTTGGGCAAGCCACTTCACCCCCACTTGCCTCTCTCCACCCAGGAGTTTAAATGGGTACTGGCATTAGCTGGGGAGTATCCTGCGATGGACTGGCATCCCATCCAGGGGGAGTAGAAATATTCTCAGTCGTTTCATGCCACTGAAACTGGAGATAAACAGCGGCCTGATGGGCCACATTGGCTCGTGACAAACTTTACTTTGTCCGAATTTGGACCCATACAAGTCATCAGGGTCCTCCAAGTCAGGCAACTAAAAAACTCTCCTGAAACCAAAGCTGGAGACAAGCCCAGGTTTCAAAAATGTCCATGGTACAAGTGGCTAAGACTGAAGCCCCATCCAAATTCCTTATCTAGGGCTATTGTCTTTAACCATTACAACTACATGGGACATAGCCGTAGCTCCAGACATCTGACACGGTCTGAGTCTCCTGACTCAGAACATGGACTCACCTTGAGTGACATGAACGCTCGCCTGAGTAGCTTGGGTATTCCAGGGAAGACGTAAACATTGCGGACACAGACCAGTGGGTATGGGTTGGGCTCGCCTGTCTTTTGGTTTATTCCGTATACCAACCTCGCTGACTTGGGAACCTTGGCAGGGAATGAAAAAAAGCAAGACTGCATAAGTTTTGGAAGTTAACTTTTTAGCAAACAATTAAAATTTGCTTTGAGTTAAACAGATTTTTGGAAAATATTAGTGTAAAAAATGCAAATATTTTTGGGGCCAGGTAGTTATTTGATCTAAACTGAATATTTAGTTCAACACTGTTTAAATTCTTATCAGAAATTGAGTTAAGTTGCCATATTTGTTAGTATTTTTCTGTTTAAGCAATTATTTTTTAAGGTAACTCCCCCAACCAACAGAACCCTCCCTGCTTAGGCCTAAACTGTTGCCACTGGTCTGCTAGTGTAACTTTCTGTAATGGTAGACAGTAACACTTGACTGAGACTTGGTTTAGGGCCTGTCTCAATTCATATCCGGGACGAGTTCTGGAAAATTGCGGACATTGTATCGGGTATAAGTTGCATGATTCTGAACAACTTCCCCGCAATCTTCCCACAATGAAGTTATCAGTATTGGTGAGTCAAGCAGTTGCTGATGAAATTTCCCCGGAACATGTCCGGGGCAAATGCAGAGCTTCTTCCAGACAAAGTGAATGATTCTACCTGCAACTTGTCTGGAAGTTGTCCTGGATATGAATTGGTCCCTTAGCCAGAGCTCAAATGAGAGTCTTCACAAGTCAATCACAAGTCACCTAGTCAATAGTCAAGTCACAAGCTATTCACATAAACTGTGACAGCATTCCATCATCATTTATCCCCAGTTACTTCTGAGCTGACTTGCCTTTTGAACTTACAACTGACTTGGAATTGACTTGTAACTGATTCAATTAAACCTGGTTTCTCTCACATGAGCCATTTTCAATTCCGGCGAGTCCAGTTCTTTGTCCTTGCCAAAGTAATGTCTGCAAAGCTTGACCAGCTCAGGATGGGCGTGGATGGGTTCATCAAATGCCTTGGCAACCCCTGAAAAATACAAACATCTATTAGACCCTTTGAGCCTCTCCAATAAGTTTTACAACTTCAATATTTTAATTTTGTTTTAAATCAAATACAAATACATGTACATCAATGATGAGGTTGCAGAGCGTCACTACTTGATGAACAGTGTTATTTTTGAGACAACATTCCACTTTGGTCCATGTATAATTCTGATTTAAGTAAAAGCTGAATATCAAGTTTTTTAGCACATGTGCAACCGTTTCCTGAATGCATGGTGGTTCCCAAAGGACGTATATTTTGAAAAATGAAAACACAAGTGTTCAGAGGTTCGAGACGCGACCTCGATCCGTCTAAGTATTTGGGATTTCATCCCTGCCCTTTCAGGGTTAAAGTTTATAACCAAATTTTATAGTGTTGCTTTTTCTTTTGAGCACTTGGGTACTTGTTACGGTCCACATTGTTGTTACCTTCAAATGTGATGTCATCATGTGTCGGTCCAATGCCCCCTGACGTCAAGACGTGTGTGTAGGAGGACGAGAACTTGGCAATCTCATCTGCAATGGTTGGTAGGTCATCACCAATGACCAAGACCTGCAAAGAATATGAGATCATGTGATCAGCCCCATCCATTCCAGACACAACACTAAACTCTTGCAAACCCTGTAAAATCCGCCAGGATGTTTACAAGGTTTTTGTTGGGTGGGATTGAGGATGGTAGAGTCCAGACTGGGACCGAGAGTGCATAAAAACGTGCAAAATTACAACTGACGTTTTTTTACTCACCATTTGGCTAATTAATGCCCACACAACACATACATCAAAATGCTATAGTTGCAAGCATGTCACCTGCGAAATATGAGACCTTAAATCCAATTTTAAGGCAAGTTTTTGGCAGTTCAAAAACCATCCACGTCATTCTCCATGCTCTAGAAATGTATGTCTGATTCCCAAGGTATCCTGGGTAGGTGCAGGAAGAGCCTTGCAGCTTACTTGTTTTTTAATCGATGGCCAAATGAACATAGCGCCCTCTGTTAAAAAATGAAACATTTTGCATTCACTCAGATCAACAAGAGGGCGCTGTTTTATCTACACTATGAAAATGTTATAGCTGAGGAGTCTTTTTGCACAATGCATTGCAGTACACATCAACGTGATGTCTCACGTTTGGATTTCGATATCTCTCTGCAAAATTAGAATTAAAAGCTGAATTTTTGGTGATGCAATGCTCACAACAGCAACTTTGCGAGGCAGAAGTTTCGGGGATTATTGAAGAAACTGTAGTGAGTAAGAAGCTTGCAAATTTGATTCACACTGGTTTTGTTATGCAGCACAAACTTTTGCACGATATGGATACCTTAAGTTTTGGGACTCTCATACACAGTATTGAGAGTCCCAAATTTTCGGACTAGGTAGAGTCCAGCTGCTACCTGAATATAAGGCCAGGTAAAAAAAACAAAATAAAGCAGCATCTCTGGCATGCCTGCTTCCTTTTCCCATCTGCTTCCTTTTTTTTTTTGCAATTCTATTCTAACCTTCCCAAATCCTCCAAAATTCTCTTTGCAAAATGGAGGATTTTGCAGGATTGAGGCTATATGGCAAAGATGCTATGGTCTATATGGCAGTTAGACCAGACGAGAAACATTTTTTACTTGGTCTTAACTGTTGGGACGACATTATAATGATGCTTACCCTTTCAACTTTGACCCCGAGGTCATACAGCTCCTTGCACAGGAAGTAAGAGTTTGTGTCCTGGGTGTGACCTTTCAGGATCTCGTCTCCGATAACTGTCATACAATGAAAAAAAATGACTCATTTTGCAATTGAGCGTTAACCATGTTAGCTTAGGAAAAACTAACTTGAGTATTAAACATCCAGCTGACATGCTCATCAGGAATTCACATACATGTACATGTGACGCTAGAGACAAAACTACGTTGTAAAAGTGAGATCTTAAGAGACCCTGAAAAAAATGGCCTCAAAAAAATGGTCCTTTTTCCCTTTATTATCCCAACCCAGATTGCATTTCCATACCTCAACGCCAATGGCCTGTACTGTGTACATGCAGAATGTACTACTGACCGGACGGCTGTTGGATGTCCTACTCAGCATAAATAATCAAGGAATAATCTGATTGGCTGATCGACACAAGCACACAATAACAACAACACAGCCACGACAGTGCGGCACTGGATGGTTTTCTGAAGATGCCACCATCAATATTTTTCATATTTTTGTAACTGTTGTTCTGTTTCAAGTCGATAAATATTAGCTTCGTGAATGAATGCTGCGTGGTTATGAGGTATGTAAATACTATCTGGGTCTACAAAATGGTCCTTTTTCCCTCTTATCATGTCTCTTTTTTTAGGGTCTCTTTAAGATCTCACTTTTACAACGTAGTTCTGTCTCCAGCATTACATGTGAAATTCTGATGAGCATGTCACTTGTCAGATGGATGTTACTCAAGCTAAGCCTAAGGGAAAACAGTTTACAAACATGACAAGTAAAATGACACATGAATGAGTAAGCACTGCTTTCACCAATATGTGTAAGGCCAAATCTTTGGGGCTTAATTATGGATTGCAACTTAAGCTTCTTCTTGTAAGGGTTGACAAGTTGACATATAATTTTGCCGCTATGCCACGCCCCCCGATCCGCCCAATATAAAACATGCGTATGCATGTCCGGAAACTGGACAACCATTCGCTACTATCTCATTTCCTTTTAGAACTCACTTAAAATACCAGCAGTTTGCCTGGAATTGTTGGCCATTGCAAGTCCACTCATTCTATCTGCTTGGAGTTGGTTTGACAGCACTGTTAGGCGGCGCAAACTGGCGGATTGTCTAAAAAGCCGAGCGAACGAATACATTACGATACAAAATGCATGTTTTGTTACATCAGGCTGGTTCAACGATGCATTCGCCGCAAACATCCATTACACAGCCCTTGCAATTAACGCAAAGAGACAGGGAACCATACGCTTAACAGCAATAATGAAGGGCGACCTCACTTGGCACACCAGATCTAAGGCACACTCTGTTTGGGTGTGAAACATTTCTCTTTGATTGACGTCAATATAAAAAAAAATGGGGGGGGGGGGGTAGAAAAGAAAACGAAAGAGAAAATTACTCGGATAATCACGATGTGCAGCTAGAGCACCGAGTTTTAATTTGTTTTCACATATTCTGGTTATTTCATAATTATTATAATTATACAAACGCATGGCGCCTTGCTTTTATTACTTAGCCAATCAAAGAGATATGTTTTAATTAAAACTATAGGTTTTCCCGGCTATTTTAAAACATTTATCATTCAAATTCACCGATATATTGAAATTCGTCCAGCGACACCGATTTAGTGCACTTCCAATGTTTAATTTCGTCTTTTGTCAATTAAAATTTAGTTCAAGCAAATTCAGAAAATGAGCACACGTTTTCGTCTCGTCTACGCCAAACCTTATTAATGTTATTCAGAAATCAACTTCGTCTAATGCAACACAATTTAATCATAATTTTGATCAATCTCATCATACGTCATTGTGACAACTTAAGTTGAAGGCAGATAATAAGTATAATTATCCACTATTATAATATGGAATTTTGCGTCGGGGTGATATAAATCAAATTAGGTTTTGCCCTTCACCGACGTTTAAACACTGTATACTCAGTGTGTTACCTCCCGAGTGAAAGTTGGAAAAAATCACTCGGGTGGGACTCGAACCCACGACCTCCTGCTTTCTAGTGCAGATGTCTTACCACTCGACCACCGAGCTAACGGGATCGATTGGCCGGTTCGAATCTGATGTACATAGCAGATTAGGTTTTGCCCTTCACCTTAGGTTTTGCCTTTTTTCCAACTTTCACTCGGGAGGTAACACACTGAGTATACAGTGTTTAAACGTCGGTGAAGGGCAAAACCTAATTTGATTTATATCACCCCGACGCAAAATTCCATATTATAATAGTTTATGCGGTACCCGCTGCTATGTACATCAGATTCGAACCGGCCAATCGATCCCGTTAGCTCGGTGGTCGAGTGGTAAGACATCTGCACTAGAAAGCAGGAGGTCGTGGGTTCGAGTCCCACCCGAGTGATTTTTTCCAACTTTCACTCGGGAGGTAACACACTGAGTATACAGTGTTTAAACGTCGGTGAAGGGCAAAACCTAATTTGATTTATAATTATCCACCTTTTTCTGTTCGTGTTTCTTTATAAATTTATTGTTTGTTTCTTTTGATTTTATCTTGTTATAGTATGCTACACTGAATATTTTAGGCACATTACACGGAGATTTGTTTTTTGACATTTTTTTCTTTCATTTTTAACACTTGTTCTTTTCGTTTGATTAATTAAATATATTTGTTTTGCTGATCTTGGTAAGTTTTACACTTTTTATTTTTTTTTCAAGAACGGTGCGGTACTCTTCGGCGAGAGGAGAGGACTGGGCACCGCCACTCTTATGCCGCGCCCAAGACACAGTGGACCTCTAACATCCCACTACCCCTACGGCCAGTAATGGCTATGGGACTTTTACCTTACTCTGGGCCTTCTTGGTCCGATAGATCAGAATCACGCGAGTGAATGTGCCAATTTGTACTCAAAAACAAGGAAAATGCTCAAGCACACACCAGACTAATTTAGTTAACACACGTTTTAAATTGATTGATCATGCAACACGAATTCGATCTCTGAATGCTGCCATTCGACAACACGGCTAATTCGACGAATTTGATCTGTAATGACAAATATTTTCAACCCGGTGTCCGAAGAGGGTGACCAATCTTTGAAATTGAATGGTAAATGACAAAATTGGGTTTGGTAAAAGCGTGTTAATTTTTCTTGGACGAAATTGAAGGTGGTGAATTTGAATGAAAAACGTTTAAAATATAGCCGGGAAATTGTATAGTGCTTGGGGACACAATGAAAATGCTCAAACAGACTAATTTACTTAACTCGAGTTTTAAATTCATATATAAGACAAATTCGATCTCTGAATGCTGCCATTCAGCAACACGGCTAGACAAATTACGAATTTGATCTGTGATGACGAATATGCTTGACCCGGTGTTTAAAGAGGGTGACCAAACTTTAAAATTGAATGGTAAATAACGAAATTGGTTTTGGTAAAAGCGTGTGAAATTCTTCTCGGACGAAATTGAGTGTTTAGAGTTGGTGGTCGTCGTCTTCGTTCGTTTGAAGATGACAGGTGCACTTGTAGATTGTTCAGCCTAACTTCCCGCGGGGGCTTTTGTGGAGATGGCATCTTGAGATCAAGTGCTCACGGTCTGAATGCTTAGAGTTGGTGAACGTGAACGAAAACGGCCGGGAAAACTTATATTACATCGGTTTGTGCAATGCTTCCTCGTGACGGCTGACCAAGCACCATAACAAGATCCGGATATCACTCACCATGGCGGCTCATTATCTGTTCTGTGGTTTTCAATTAAATCATCAGCTCGAGATATGCACTTGTATAATTGTGCAGTGGTCCGAAAAATCAAACCAGTCACGAGCCAATTAGCAGAGTCGTCCTGAACAATTGACTTAAAGGAATTAATTAATCCCCCTTAGAACAAGGACTTATCGACAAGGTCATCATCCCTTGATCTACCGACATACAATTAGAAGGATTTTAATAATTATCGGTGTGTTCTTAGCCGAAAATAATTGCTAGTAACTAACTTGTAATTAAAGTTAAACTCCTCCTTATCCCATCCGAGGTCGCCAGAAAAAGGGGCATTCGCAATCCTGGAACAATTTAAAGGTATAGTCCATCATTTGTAATTTGTGCATTTTGTTCGTTTGAAGCAACAAACATGCTCAAAATCTAAAGAAGGGTGCTGAACAACTAACCTGATGAAGTTTCAGCTCAGCTTCAGCTGTATATTTCGAGAAAAACAGCATTCTAGGAACTCGATTTCAAATCAAAAGTTGCTGAATCATGTTTTGAATTGGGTCTGCATGCAGCGTCCGCCGAGACACGTTCTCGCTGAGCCGATTGCAGCTACGCGATGTCGCGCACTGATCCGACGAATTATAGGCGCGCGCGCTTCGCCGAAAAAAAAACAAACTACCACGGAAATTTCCAACGGTGCTTCTTAAGACGCACCGTTGGAAAGGCCTTTTTTCGTTGATTTCTTTAAAATGACAGCATGCCGGAAAGAATAATTTCACAGGGAGTTTATTCCCCTTACCATCTTTCAACCAAGTATGTCTTTCAACAATAATTACCGGTATTTCAGTTACTTTTGGATAGCTGCAAATGATGGACTGTAGCTTTAAGCACAATTGCAATTGTCTCTAACTAGCTGGCAAGCTGCTCAAGCGCTACGTTGTACTCAACGAGACTTGTTTGTCTGTTTTCGGTACCGAAATTCAAAATTCCAAATCACGTATACTTTGACCTAATGTTCATCCGTGCTCAAAGCATTTTAAATCCACACAAGGTCCCGATGCGTTGGACATGGGTCATTATTACCCCTGATCGCTGGGTCAATGAAACATTCAAAATACCATCTCAGCTAGCTCCCTGGGGAGGCATCTCGATGCTGCCATTTCGGTGCAAAGCAGCTGAAATCAACCACAATTAACATAATCATCCCTGTCCTCACATGTACCCATCCACTCTTGGGTGGAGAGAAGCAATGAGTGACAAAGTGACTTGCCCAAAGACACACGCATGTAACCCCAGGCGGGACTCGATCCCACAACCTGCAGCTTTACCCACAGACCACAACTCGGAATTCAATGCTCCAGACTACGAGGCCACGGCACTTCACTGACCTAGATCTCAATCATTCCCCCCTTAATCATACAAACTTCTGCCACGACACATAATGACCAAACCTACAGAAAAGCGCATTAGTCAATTATGCCATTCAATTTTAGGATAGTATTCTACTAGATGAGTGAAAATTCTAGATGACTGAACAAGTACCAAGAAATAATGCGATAGCAATAGACCTGAAAACATAATGACGTCATGCGTCGTTAACATGTGCACTTTCCCATGGGAGCTTGGTGGATCTCATCCTCGGCTCCCGTAGGAAAGCGCACATGTACACGAATCATGACGTCATTATGTTTTAGGTCTATATATTAAGGGGCACATAATAACGCCACTATAAGCATTACTATTTACATACCTATCATTCCCTAAAAAGAAAATATATTGTTGCATAAGTATACCACTTTCCATTGTAAAATACTTGTGAATAGAATACAAAATAATAAGTAAAGTGGTAACTGCATGCACCAAACTCTTGCTGATCTAAGTAGTAGTCACACGATCTTGTCACGTGGCCGTGGACTTCACAATGAGCAATCTCAGCCCAAGGTCTCACGTATCCGTCGGGGGTATTTTTGTAATACGGTGGCCTAAATACAATAATAGTAATTTCCGTTTGATACCCCATTAACTGGTAAGAATAAAGGATTCTGGAAATCACTGGAATCGCTTATAAGCACGATTCAGCTGAGGAGAAGACAGGATTTTGCGCCGGTAGAAAGAACGTAGAACGGGTTTTGAATTTACACATCAAGGAAAATTCAAGAAGATAAAGCTTTAAAGGTGAGCCATTTGCTAGGAATATTCACTGTGTGCCTGACTGACTGACTGCCTGACTCCCCAATTGCCTGCCTGGCTGACTCCCCCCCCCGGATGACTGGCTGACTGAATCACTGACTGACTGTAATTACTTGTGGACCGGGTAGTGCTATCGTATAGGATTACCCCTAACGAAAAAAAGGCTTAATCTGGCCCATCGTTAACATGTGAAGACTAGATGCATGGAAACACTTGAGTGAATAGCCATTATGAATCGATCGAATAGAAGGTTGTGTACTCTGGGACCAGCTTTGTGAGGTTTACATGCTCTTGCTTAAACCATTAATTGGATCGCTCATTACTTTTTTGGGGGAGGGGGGGGGGTGTCGTGGTAGTCATTTGGGTCCGTTTGTCCGATGCGCCTAATTACCCAGCGAAGCCGGCCGCAATTACCGGCGAGCAATCCGGCCGTTTAATTCCCAAGGCTACCTACTCCAGATCACTGCCCGGGCTGAGTCGCAATTGGCCCTCATTAGTCAGCCACACTTCTCGGAGCACACACGGCCCGACAAGTCATTGCAACCTGCCTCACCTTTCAATCAATGTCCAAGTACAGTAATTCCTACTTTAATTTCCTCCCACGACGATCCAGCGTGGGGTTTACGAAAATTGTCCTTGCCGAGTTCAGCATTTCGGTCGTTTAGTCTTTCAGTCTCGGGGTGGAAAGATAGTCAAACGGAGTGTCATTCTGGCGACACCATGGGGCCTTGTACGCAACACGTCTGACCCCTATCTTTATTTTGAGTATTTCTGAGTGTACAAAAGCCTTTGTCGGCAACTCCCAGAGGTAGTTCGGTTGTGGCCGTAGTGTGCTCGCGATCGCATGGGACTCATTATCCGGACGACGACGCCAATGCAGTACAGACGCCAATATTCACCAATGCAGCGACACTGAGGTAAGGATATTTGTATCAGAAGCACAAGTAAGTATGCCGCGTTGGAGATTTGGTAGATGGAGTCAACGTTTCGGGCATTTCATACTGATCATCTTGGTGTGAAACAACATCAACATTGAGGTAGGATATGTTGTATCGGTAGAACAAGTAGGAATGCAGCGTTGGAGAGTTGGTTGATGAAGTCAACGTTTCGGGCCAACGTTTCGGGCATTTAATACTGATCATCTTCATGTGAAACAGTTCACATCATGGTACACCCAAATGAATACTACCCCTCAGTTTTTATAAGTCTTTTTCACACTTTATAAAAACAAAAATCATTTCGTTCACTGAAACCTATCAGAATTAGGGCCGTATTGTTTAATGATCGTTTAGAACCTTGCAAGTATAGGTTCAGCTCTAAAGCTTCACTCGCAGGAGATGTTTGCATTAGAAGTGAAAATAGCAACACTCAGATGAATGATGCGATATTTGCAATGTTGCCGATCGTATTGGCTGATATGCCAGCTATAAATATGTTGTTTAAATGTGTTGCAGATCACTACGCGTTGACGTGTTCAAAAGCTCTCAAACTATCTTATTATTAGAGGGTGAGTCAAAAGAAAGTGTGAAAATTTCACGTAATTTGCATACTCTATTCCAATTATATGACTATTTCAATAAAAAGAACGCAAACTTCAGCTGTCCACCACTGATCATTTACCGTTCTACGAATTGACGAATACCCATTAAATACAACGAAACATGGACGTTTTCCCACCTCCGTGAATGAACGAAAACGTGCAAAGGAAAGCAGACAAAAATGGCCATCAATATTTTACAAAAAAGAGTGGACTTATTCCTCGTATTCAAAAGACAAATTCTGACAGTAATAATAATGTTTCAGTCTTGACTGAAATCATAAAAATCCCATTTGTATTCTAATGCGTGTGTGTGATCTGTAATTCTCACTCAGCTCAATAGCATAGCCTTCCGTGGACAGCTATAAAAATTGGTTCTTTCAGTAAAACATGCATTACTTTTGATAGCGTGGATCAAGTTCAGTATTTCTTTTTCAAGATGAGTGGAAGAACATGCTCTTTTAAGACTCTTCATTCCTGTATTAAAAGTTGTTTGCTTCGCAAGTTAACAAAAAAATATATCATTAATCCTCTGGTCATTTTCTTTTGACTCACCCTGTACCTAAGTGTACGTAGTTGTGCCGTTTTATCACTTACCGAATTTTGTGAAAGGCTTTCAATTACCTTGCGATAGACACCACAAATCACGTAGGCGCGAAATTATTGGTGCGTGTCGCGCGTCAAGTCCTTTGATAACTGCACAGTCTGCTTCAGCGTGGGGGATACGGTTGAAACTGAAAATGTTACTTCATTACATGAACCCAAAACCTGCAATAACATCCATCAATGTGTAACTTGAATTGATCAGGCGTGAGGGTCGCCACATAATAACACGGTCTACGATTTTAATGTTTTACCAGACAGCTCCAATTTTAAAGGTAGTACATGTATATAGATATTTTTTGTGCTCTGTGGTAGGTTTGACTCAATAACAGATTTAGTCAAAATCTTAAGAACGGTGCTTTACAACTAACCTGTTAATATTCAGCTCATTGGATACTATTAATATTAGAGCAAACATGAACAATATAATTATGCTTTTTATGGGGGGGGGGGATGATTCCGCTGTTAACGCTCGTAATAGTGCCAAGCACACCTTATGTTGAAACCACCTTCAATGTGTTAAATTGCTTTCAAGCGTTACCATTTCAGGCGGAATAATTTAATTCACATGGTATTTGATACCATGCTATCTAAACTTTATAGCTACAAATAAACACAATGGGCAAAGTGGGTTGATAATAAATAGACCAACGTTGGTCAACGTATCAACAGGTTAAACTCTTTAGCAAATTCTCCCCAATTGTTGGAAATTTGTTACCCAAATTGGGTAATTTCAAACCAATGTTGGGTAACATTATATTGCCCAACAGTGTTTAAATCGGTTCGCACTTTTGGATACATGTTATTGCAAACGACCCTACGTGAATCTAGTGTGACATAAGATGAAATAGCTGAAATAACTGAAATGGTCCAGATTTCAAAACAAAGCAACCAAGTTGTTGAGAACTTAAATGCATTGGCACCACACGTAGGGACACCACTGCCTTGTGTTGAAGTGTTTTTTTTTTCTTTTCGGAAATAGTGCTATGTCAATGTTATAGTCTGTCCATATCTTTAGGAGGGGACAGGTTGGCGTAGCGGTACTTTCCTCGCCTTCTACCGCTGTGACCCGGGTTCGATTCCTGCCTGAATCGGAACAAACGTGGATTGGGTTTTCAATTCCTACTTGAATCCGTGGGTTTTCCTCAATATAATCTTCTGGGGTTTCCTCCCACCTCTGAAACTGTATTTTTTTCAATTTTCTTCTTTTTACTGACCCAGGGAGACCAGTGGATTCCACTGAATGGGCTAACCTGTTAAAATAAGACCAATGCAAAGCTTCACAATCAGGTTTTGAAATTCCACTGTATTTTTATTAGTGTATTTCGACTGCTTGACATGGAATAATGATGGAACACTTGACAATTTCGCCGTTGAAGCGAAGAAATAACATCGATATCTTTTCAGGCCGAGTGTTGCAGCAGTGACGGTTAGGCCCTACCAATAAATAATTTACTTTTAACAATCTTTACAGGAACAAATTTGTACAAATTTCTACTCCTCTTAAATGTAAGAAAAATATTTGACATCCTTATTTGGTTAACGTTATCAAATAGTGCACTTCTTCGAACATTTAAAATTGTCCATGCTTTTCCGGACAACCGAGTGCGCTGTTTCTGTGACGTCATTTCAGGAAGACACTGTTCAGTTTCTGGGTTTCCTGTTCAAACTGTTATCCCAAAAATGTGCTCATTGAAAATATATTTGAGGAAAGTTTGCTCATTGGCTTACTGCCATGTACAGACACAACAACGAATCACTAAAGAAAAGAAAAAAATTACGACAACAAAATATCCAAAATTCCGGCATCTTTTGGTGCTGCAATTGATGTAGCATTGAGGTTTCTGCCTGAAATGACATCACACTTTTGCTCACGAATATGACTTTCAAATTAGTATATCCCTGGGCACCGAAACACCCGGCCTCGACGATGGCAAAATGAAAATTGAAAATATGGGTAAATGGGACACAAAAGGTTCGTTTTCAATGACTGCATTAAAAATAATTACATTGCATGGGGCCTTCATACCAATTTCCAACCCGGGTTTTCCAGAGCCGTATACCTAACCCTGGTTTATTTCAAATCAATCTAATTCATGTTATTTGCGAGGAAAATACAATAAATCAGTTACAATATCTGAGAAACGACCGAGGCGTGCTCGTGCAATTGCCAAGAACATTTGGGAGTAGGGCTAGAACGGCAAAAACTGTATACAATCTAATTAGATTTTCCGGAATTGAATCGGGAGATGACTTCGCAAAAAATTGATCGATTTGGGGCAAATTTGGAAAACGTAAAAAAAATCGTTGCCCACAAAATACCAACTTGGACGAAGATTCGTCTTGTAAACCAAGGCCAAGTAAGATATGGAGGGACAAGAAAGGCACGCAACTCACGTACTCCATTTCAAACAAATATACAAACTTTACCCCGTAAACAAGCCAGGACAGACATTGTTTTTAATTGAAATCACCAAGATCATTTGCATTGTTCCGAAAGTAACTTTCCACATTATTAAAAATAAATTGGAGTAAAGATCGTACTGGTATACTAAATACTCCGTGAAATTATTCCATGTAGCTTAGTGTCATTTCGAAGAAATAAAAAAAAACAATCAGTCAGTAGACTATTATTGACGAAGTCGCGTGTCATGATCAACATAGATCGTGCGTGGGATTTCACTGTTGTCGCGAAAATTGTAATAATCTACTGAGCTGAAACTTCAACAGGTTAGGTTCTGAGCATTCTTCTGTGGTGTTATTATTGGAAACAAACAAATTGCACGAAAAAAAAATGACACTATATGCTTTTAATGTTTTTTTTGGATTGATCTTTTTACGTGAAATGGCTAATTTGCCCTGGTTAGGGCCTACATATTGCTTTGGGGGGGGGGGGGGGGTGGAATTTTACCCCAAAGGAAGTCAGTACGGAAGGAAAGAGACAAGCGTAAGGGACACTCGCCCCATCAACAAACATATAGTTGTTTAATCACTCAATGTTGTTGACAGATGAACAAACATACATTGAACACGACCTCATAAAAAACATAACCTGCATTCCAAAAGTGAACAGTTTCATTATCATGACAAGTAGTCGGACAGCATGTACCATATATTATGAAAGTGCAACGTAAAATGGAATGAAAAATTATAAGCCACGTTAAAATGGAATGAAAAATTATAAGCCGTAATAAAAAAAAATAGGACCTACGACTGCCCACGAACAGGGACAAGTGGACATACTTCGAGAGCAACTCAAACATTTGTTAAATAAATGCACTCCCGGCTTTGCGATTCCAGAGTTTTAGCGCGCCTGAGTCGGTAAGCAAATGGGGCATTATTTGCCCCAGGAAATTGACTATGTACACTGTGCGGACTGAACAGAAATGCGCGCAATATGAAGAAGACATTATCTGCTACCAAATAGGAGATATTTTCTCCCATCAGATAGGAGATATTAACTGCTATCAGATAGGAGATATTATCTAGTATTATCAGTTCTGCGCAAGAGTAAATATTAGTTTATCTTACTTATTTCTGTTTTTTTCTCCAAAAGTCCCACTTTGCTACAAAAATCGTAGTACTGATGGAATCTACATAGTCGCAAAGTTACGAAGCCACCATTAAAATTAACTGTAATAGGGTCCCAGAAAATCAAGCTCATGTGGCGCTAGTCAACGAGCCACAGCTGCATGACGCCGCAATTTCATTAATGGCCCTTTAGGGCGACATTATAAAAATGATGAAGATATTTTGCAACCACGAGTAGTGCACTCA